CACTCTATCCCTTTCTTTCTCTTCTAAGGTCCAATCTTACTTAAAGGAAAAGTGGCTTTTCTGCTGTTTGTTTTCATGTGAAATGTTGGAATACATACTCTAAATGTTTACCTTAAATGYGCACAAGAGCATATTTGAAATGATTGTTCCATCAATAATCTACATATTGGATCATTTAAGACTGTTTGAATAACATGATATAAATAGTATCCTTTCTCATCAAAATTATATTATTAAATATGCTTTTAGTTCTTGGAAAAAGTTAAAAAGTTATCTCTTTTAACTGGCTATAAGATTTTTTTTTTCATTCACTAAACTTTTATGAGTAGGAGTTTTCATCTTTTCATACAGATGACAAATAGATACAACAACTGAMATTTAACATGCTTTAGATGAGAGTAACTGTAGGTAAATGACATAGTAGAAATAAACATAGAATTAAGTTTTTACAAATTTTGTCCCAGAGCAAATGATTCTAAGATTCTACCTCCTGAGACTTAATGGCCACTGACCTCATAACCATCCTATATTTATCGGAACGTTTGCATACCTAGGACCTTCAGGTTGAAGTGCTTTCTGACTTCTCCAGCATCATTGGAGGCAATGCAGGTGTAGGTTCCTGAATCTCCAGTCTCTGCCTCGATAAGCTGGAGGACCATTCCTTGAGTGCTGATGCTTAGATGGGCATCAAGCCCCAGAGGCCGGCCATCTCTGAGCCAGGACACACTGGGGCTTGGGGTCCCGTCTGTAAAGCATGTCATAGAGGTAGAACTGCCTTTGACAATGGTGATTTCCTCTGTCCCCATGGCGTTGTCCATATTTGGTGGTACTAGATAGAAAATAAAATAGGTGAAATTTATGTATTTATTATAATTTGAGATAAACTAAAATAAGGACACAAACTATTCTATACTRTATCTGTGGTCCATGAAAATAAGTACTTTAAAATAGCATATAATAGGTTTGACATTACTACAAAAACATCCATTAGGTAAGCTAATTATTAATGTTCCAAATATTAGCAGTGAAACCTCAAAATTGATTTCTTGTAGAATATACAGTGTGTTTTTTTTTTTTTTTTTTTTGTGCTGAGGATTGAACCCAGGGCCTTGTGCATGTGAGGCAAGCACTCTACCAACTATATCCCCAGTCCATACCATCAGGGTGTTTTAAGTTTTAGTGATTTCATAACTTTTCGCTTGATTTCTTTTTTTTCCTTTGGTAGTGGGCACTGAATCTAGGGGTGCTTAACCACTGCGCCACATATCCAGCCTTTTTTGTTTTTTTTGAAACAGGGTCTCACTATGTAGCTTAGGGCCTTGCTAAGTGGCTAAGGCTGGCTTTGAACTTGTGATCCTCCTGTTTCAGCCTCCTGAGGTTTCATTTCTTTAATTTGTTATAATGTTTGAAATACTTCCAATAGTACATTTCTACTTTTTATGCAAAACAATGACATCAAATTCAGGTTAAGTTTTATATAAAGCAACATAAGCTATAGTAATCAGTTGCTTAACTGTTCTGAGATGTTCCTGGGGAATTAAAAACATTTAGATCAGCAGTGTTTCAGAAATGGAAGGTTTTGAGCYCCTTATGGATGCAAATAGAATACATACATGCACATGAATCTATTCATTTTAAATAATCTAAATTGCTAATATTATTAGAAAATAGATTTGACTTTGTCTGAAAGACAGGTTTTGTGTCTGGATTGAAATGCTATTTTAAAAATTTTAGATTTTGTTTAATGCCAAATGCCAGGTCAGAAGAGTACTTTGACCGTCAGTATGAATACAGAGCCCTTGAGAGAAAATGATCTTCCCTARTCAGCAGTATGCTTTTCCACCAATTATTTAATTTTTAGTTGTGGATGGACTCATACATTTATTTTTAAATTTATTTTTATGTGGTGCTGAGGATCAAACTCGGTGCCTCATGCATGCTAGGCAAGCGCTCTACCACTGAGTCACAAACCCAGCCCTCACCAATTTTTTTTCTTTTTTTGTCCTGGGGATTGAACTCAAGGGTACTCAACCACCGAACCACATCCCCAGCCCTATTTTGTATTTTATTTAGAGACAGGGTCTCACTGAGTTGCTTTGCGCCTTGCCATTGCTGAGGCTGGCTTTGAACTCGTGATCCTCCTGCCTCAGCCTTTGGAGCCGCTGGAATTACAGGCATTTGCCACCGCACKCGGCTTCACCAATTATTTTTCATAGAGGAAACCCAGATCTCTAAATCTGGCAAGAGTCAATTTTTAAAGATAGCCTGTTGATGAAAACTGGACATGGAGTAAACAGTAGGGTCAGTTCTGTGACACACCGAACACTTGGAGGCTGTAGTGCTTGTTGTCCACCCCAGCTCTGTTGGAGGCCACACAAGTGTACATGGCGACATCAGACACCTGAGCTCTCACAATCCTGAAAAACAATTCGACCCAACATTTCATAATGTGATCTCATTGGACACATACCAGTAAAATAATTATGACTTACAAATAAATTTCAGAAGGAGATTTATATGTTGAGAAATGTTACTTATGAAGCCTATATCCCATCCATCACAAAATACAGATCCCTCAAATGCAACTGACTCTACACAGGTAATATGCAGTAACAATAAATCACTGAAAATAGAACACATTTTGAGGAGCGAATATTTTTCAAGCACATATTAATAGGAAATGATAATACATGAAAATCATGTGATTAGGCACGTTCCTACCTCTGGCCACATATTATTTTAGTTAAAGCAGTAGTTTTGGCCATTGTGTATATGATAATAAGTCATCTATGAAAGACTCATTTTATCCAAGCCATTTCAATATTATATTTTTGTCTCTCCCCTACTAAAAATAGACTGGAAGGGGAAAAAATAAGCAACACTAAAAGCTTAGGAAAAAGTGTTTCTCAAACACTGTTTAGATGAGGAAACAATCAGTTTTTTTTTTTTTTTAATATGCTTCGGCAGTCTCAGGCAATAAGACAGGTTTACCTGATAACGTGCCCTGCAGACAACAACCGAATATGGGAGGAGAGAGGCAGAGGAAGTCCATTCTTGAGCCAGTTTATTTGAGGCGGGGGTGTCCCTGTGGCTCTGCATTCAATATTTATTGAAGTATCCACCAAAGCCATCAGTTTCTCTGCTTCTTCTTTATTACCTCTAATTTTAGGTGGAACTATGTGATGCAGAAAGTAATTAAGAGAGGGAGCAGCATTAGTTCAAATCGCTTCCACTACAGTTGCCCACAGTTTTGCTTTGTATCCCAAAAGGAAATAGTAGTGTCATTAGATTTAAAGTTAAATGCTCCAGACACCTGTGGCCTACGAATAGCCTCTTAAGGTAGCGCAATCAAGAAGGGGTGATAGTTCACACTTACCATAGACATTCAAGTTAAATATCCGGTCTTCTTCTCCAGCAGGATTAGTAGCCACACAAGTGTATTTCCCCATGTCGGATGTGAGAGCTCCATAAATGTTTAATGTGCTGCCATTTGCAGTCACCCTATAGAAAAGGTCAAATAGAGGCACTGAGATAATTAATCTGGGTTTATGATCTGGAGCAATCTTTCCAGATTACAGGTTCTTTTAAAAAATCACCATAAAATTTCTTCATTTTGGATATAATAGTTCAAATTAATTTCACTAAGTACATGGAAGCCTATTAAAGTCAAAGCTAGAGAAACTGATGGAGATTCAGGCCACCAACGAAAATCACACAGTAATAGATCTCCTATTCACCAATCTCCTTATGAGAGGAAAAAAAAAAAAGGAACAAAATTGGGCTATGAACTTCTATATCCAAATTACAGGCAGAGACATCTTCTTCCAAGTTAGAAAATTTTATCTTTAGTTATCAGTGTAAAGTTTGAATGAAATGAAAACCACAAAAAAATTCTGGTGTGAAAATTGAAGACAGTAGATGAGAAACTGAAGAAATCACACATCAAAAAAATCTAACTACAAAAATCTTAAGACCTTACAGAGGGTGAGGAGACTAGGATGATATAATTAAAGCAGGGCAACTCAAGATTATGTCTGAATATATTTAGCAAAAACTTTCCTACATATTAAAATTTTTCTTTTGAAGTACATCATAGTAAGTAATAGAGACAGATAATCAAAGATATCTAAATTAACATTATTGCATTATTTGTTCTCTCCACACATCATTAATTACCAAAACAAAACTCCTTTTGTTTTAGGAAGAGGTAAAATTGTTATCTACAGTTATTTCAACAATAGTAATTTCATTAGAATATCCCAGTGTTGAAAGGAAATAATCCATTTTATTATGTTATTAAATGTCATATTTTAATATCAATATTGAGAATTATAATGTCTTTATCTGGACATGGTTGTATTTTCTTTTGTCAAAATGAAATGTTAAAATCCCATGAGTTTAGGCATGTTAGTAAACAGAAAGAGCAAGCTTCCATTATCAAAACAAAGAAATAAGTTGACTTTGAGAAAATTACTTTGTTAAATTCTTCCACTTAAAAGTTCATACATATTGTGGGGTAGTGAACAAATTGTCAACAAAGTAAATGTAAATGTAAGCAAACTTAGGATGTTAATATAAGAGATAGACACTGAATTCCTATGTATGATATTATATAAGATTTTTAGGTCCCACCAAGTATCTAGTAGTTGGCCTAGAATGTGGTCAAAATCAGCTTATCTAATAAAGATTATTAAATACTTGTAAATTATTTAGAAATRTTCACATAAGAGCAATAAAATATAAAATATTTCTCTAAAATTTAATTATTTAGCAATTTCTCCAAATGTAAGGGAAAAGTATCTTAATTTTAATATCAAATGAATACAAAGGAAATTACTCTTATCTGCCATTAAATTAAATTTATTCAATTCATTGACTAGAAAATATACTCCAAATATTTAAATTTAAAATATTGGCTCAAAACAATACGTTTTATAGTACATTTAATTAATGCCTACTCAGGCATATAATTATTCTGTATATGTGTGTAATAGGAATTTGTGATTAAGGCATCTTGCATAGTGTGGAATTCTGCATTGTTGTTTTGAAGGAATTGTCTATTGAAAGTAGCAGGACACCCTTACCACACTATCATTCCATCTCTTTGTGGCAAGAAAACTGACAACTGTCAACCAAAGAATAAGATTTGGACAAACCATTGTAAGGAATAAACTGGATTATGATGTTGTTATATATTTACTCAAAATGAACCAAGCAATGGTATATATGAAGTTTGATGGTTTGAGGACCCCAAATACCTATGATTATTGATGAATCTTTTATGARAGAAAATGGGCTTGACTTAACAGGAAAAAAGTAATTATCTTAGAATGTGGACTTTGGTGTGGGCATTCTGAGATCAGAGAAATAAAATCAAGAATAGTTCAATAGTTAACTAACATTTTGAGGAATGAGTACCTGAGGATATTTTATAACACAGTCAATGGATAATGGCTTCCCTCCCTCCCTCCCACCCTCTTGCTACCTCCCTCCTTCCCTCCCTCTCTCTCTCTCTCTCTCTCTCTCATACACACACACCAATACCCACACATTTTTGAGTGTTCTCTAAAGAGAATTTGTGTCTAATACTCCAAATATTTATCTTTTCTTTTTATACATATCATGATAGCCAGATTCCAATGAGATGGTATTTGGTATTATTATAGGAAATTTGAAGCATTAGGCATTGTAGAAGACTTTATGATTTATAATGCAGAGATTCATCTTAAACATACCGGGTTCTTTCTGTTTCACTGTTAATTATGGTCTTTCCATCTCTAAGCCACTGGATAAATGGGGTGGGAACACCATTTGCATTGCAGACCAGCTCGATATTTTCCCCAAGAAGGACACTGACTTCACTTGGAATTTCAGCACCAGCAATACTTGGAGGAACTGAGAAGTATTTAGGATTTTTGTTAACAAGGCACAAGAATGCAAATTCTAATGAAAGTGGCAGAATCATAGAACATACCATTTTTAAAATATTTTATTTCATTTTTCAGTTGCCAATGGACCTTTACTTATATGCAGTGCTGAGAACTGAACACAGTGTCTCCCACATGCTAGGCATGCACTCAATCACTGAGCAACAACCCCAGCTCTGAACATGCCAGTTTTAATTAATATATTCTTCCTAGATTAAAATCAACTATTGTTATCTTCATTAACTACTTTTAAATGAGAAAGGTAATTGAATCAAAACTCTTCAATATTCCTGGTATACCTGTAAATCAATATAATTATTTAATTATGGAGGCTGGTAACAGATCTGTCTCATGGTGCCCTTCTAGGTAAACATAATCATTCATAGATTAAATCCTCAATGGATAGTTCCTCAAAGAATAGAATTAATATAACTCAGAAGAATCCGTTTTTTCAAACATTGGCACAAAGGTCTATGGGAAGTATATAACTTATTTCTTTCTCCAATATCTAGTCTAAATAATATTTATCTGGATAATGGATAGACTTATTATAGTCTTCRGAATCCAATAGCTTCAGTGCTATCCAATCATGTTTGCACTTTAATGGTTTGGTCAAGATAACGTGAAATAAAGAGAAAGAAACATCTTTAAATCCCTATCCTATACAATTATAGTTAAAGGGATGTGTGGGCAGCAGCTCACAGGCACTCCCAGGAACCAATTTTTCACGTCCTCTCTTATCTGCATTCAGTGATGTCATGTGGGAAACTGTAAGAGGGCTTGGTGGGCATATGTCCTCCAAGAAACTGGCAAATAAATGATCGTATACAAACCAGATCTTTATCCTTAAAGCATCAATTGTTACACATTTACTAATCCATCACTTCAGTCTTTCCAAATATTATCCTAGCCATGCAGATGATAAAAACAATATCAAATCTACATATCTAAACCAAGAATATTAAAGAAGTCAATAAGAATGTTAATAAGAGACTTTCTATAATTAATGTGTAATATATGCCAAGCACTAGACCTAGGCCCTGTATACAAACATTATCTCTAGTCTTAAGACATTCTAAATCATAGAAAAATTCTGGTAAAATGTTTGGTCATATCACATAACGTATGATTGGTATCTATATATTGTTAATGCATAAACGAAATTTTTTATTTATGAACTGTATCTTATTTACACAAGTAAGAACAGATTTACAGACTTGACATCCAAATAAGTTATGCCAGTTTTAAATAAATAAGTATAATTCAACATAATACATATAATAGGAAGGTAATAATTTATTAAAAGTGAAAAAATAAACTTCCTAAGTTCCACTATTCTGTTTTCTCTCATTTACTTCCATTTTCATGAAAAGAGAATTTTATTGATAAATGTGGAACTGACAACCGACAGTATTTTTGGTGATTTAAAGACACGTTGAGTCAATTGCTAATGATCCCTTTAAATGCAGATTATTTTGTTGTATAAATTGAATATAACAAATAAACTGAACATAAATCAGGTGTACATGACATACCTTGAATCAAAAGAATGTAATTCTTCTGTGCCTTCCCCTCTACATTTGATGCAATGCATGTGTAGTTTCCACTGTCTGAACGCTGAGATCGAGCAATTTGGAGTTTGCTACCTCCAGATAAAATGTGAACTTCCAGTGAGTCAGAAGTTTCTACAGGGAGAAACCAAGAAAAACAAAATTAAAGAAACTTCTATATTTGACATCTCTACAATTCACCACCAAATACCTTGATTTATGTACTAAACGTATTTCTTAAAATTTTGTTTTACTTTTGTACTTTTATTTTAAAAAGGAAAAGCAAGAAAAAAATCTCTTTACAAAACGAATGACCATTTTACAATGAGTCTATTTTATAAATTCATATGTCAATACATTAGACTTATATGATGCACAGTTCTGGCATAATGTTGAAAGTGTGCTAGCCTTTTTATCTAGCAATTAAAGTCAAAAGAAAACACCTTTGTGCATTTTTGTGGTTGTTACCTATGGGCTTGTGGTTCTTTAACCATACTATGGTGGGAGGTGGAATCCCAGTGGCATCACATGTCAAGGTCACCGGATTGCTGATCGTTTCCACGATCACTTCTTTTTCAGGCCCTTCTATACTGGGTGGCACTATAAAAAGACAGAAGAAAATCATGTGTCCTCATTAAGCTAATTTAGGACATTTCTTTCATTTGCATATCTGGGGGGAAAAAGAGTTGTATTAGAGGCAGATGCTCACCATATACATTGAGGTGGAAATTTTTATCATCCCGTCCTGCTACATTTATAGCTTTACATACATACTGGCCTGTGTCAGAAACCTAAAAGAAAAAGATACTATTGTATGTGCTCCATTAAGTTATAGATGACCAATCACACTGTTTGAGTGTAGATTAAATCATCAGTCATCTTTATGCTCAAATGCCCCACTTCTAATCAGCCTCTGCAATCCTGATACTTTTTTAAAAAAATGAAAATAAGATCAATGACATTGACTATGTATTTTTTAATAAATACTTTTTTTGGCTGTAGTAAAGGGAACATGTGACTTCCAATGATCTCTTCCGCAACCCCACCAGGGAGTCTTAACCCTCAAACAAGAATAAAAGATGAACCTCAGCCTTCTTGATGTGCAGCATTTGTCCATCAGTTAAAATTTGAATGTGAGTGGACTCTGTTATCATCCGCCCGCTCTTATACCAGGTGATGACTGGAGGTGGGACAGCATTTGACTCGCACTCCAAGGACACTGAAGTTCCTTCTCTTACATTAACTATGGAGACAGACTCGCTGCCGTGATCCTTAATGCTTGGGGGAACTGAGGGGAGTAAATAAGAACAGAAGAATTATTATTTTTTTCATCAAATTGCTCAGATAGAAGTAGTGAATAATAGTTTTTAAATAAAATAATATTAACAGAGTGAAAACAAACCATAAACAGTCAGGGAAACCTTTTTCTTGCTTTCACCAGCTTGACTGATAGCTATACAAGTGTATTCTCCACCATCAGATACCTTGGCCCGAATAATCTGTAGAGTTCGACCCCCTGTGGGCAGATACAATGTAAATTGAAGAACAGAGGTTGTTCTAATAATCATCAATAAGATAAATGGTAAAATACATCATTTTCCTTAATAAAATTATTTTGAATCATTTCATTTATTAAAATGAAATAATTGAATCAGTTTTCCTTGATCCTTTCTTTTTTATCAATTTTAGTTTCTTATAAAGTAAGGGACTCAAAATTTTTCTCTTTAGTAAACAGACGTGGAAAGGAAAACTATTTGATAGGTCCTAGTGAGAAAATACTAAYTGTACTATAGCTAAAATACTTAAAATGGTTGAGGATTTAAATTGTCCCCAGTGCAGAAATAACTGCAATAAATAGATTATCTGTCTGTCYATCTATCTTTCTGTTTCTTTCTCTCTAATCTGACTGTATTATTTTCTATTATCTATCTATGTATTTATCTACCTACCTATCTACCTACCTATCTATTCATCCTCAAGAAGTGTTGGGATTGATTAAAAACAACCAGTGGTTAATAAAATGAAAGTACTATTTACCATCTACACTCAGAATTACTAAGCTGTTCTGTTCTTAAATTCCATAGTTTGTTAGAGGAGACCTTGTTTTTCTACATTTTCACTGAGTTMATGAAACTCTTTATAATCTTACCCTAATGGTCTCGAATGGGTAAGAGAGGCATTTTCTGTGAACAAATAAATGGAGCAAGATAAAAGTTTAGAAAGAGACCAAGTCAAAATGCCATTTGTATTAAAATAGAGGAAAATGAGAAAGTTTTTCCCACCTTAAAAAGAATAAAAAATTCCTTACCAGGGACAATGAGAGCATTTGTGTTTGGCTTGATAGGCTGTTCATTTTTGAGCCAACTTAGATCAGGAGGTGGAAAGCCAGAGACCTCACAGGTCAGAGCAATGAAATTGTTCACCACCACGGTGAGATTTTCAGGGTTGGGGCCAATGACACYCGGAGGAACTGTAAAAGCATATATATTAAAATGAAACCTGATGTCAGAAATGCATATTCCAATTTATTCCATGTTAGCCCAACCACTGTGCTCTGTGAAGGCACTGAGTTAATGCTTCTGTAGGTTATCCAGCTGACTTTACTAGAATTTCTCAGTGCCTTCATCAAGCTTGGGTATATCAGGTTTATTTTTTTCAAACTGAAAGAAAGAACCAGAATTTTCTAATTAAGAATATTCTATATTTATTTGTAAAACATAGATGGCAATTCCTAAGATGGTTTTGTCAAAGTACAAATAAAGACCTTATGGTATTTTTTTTAAAGTTCATTTGAGTAATCTTTTTAAAAATACTATAGCCTACTTAATGCTTTTCTCTTCTTGTGATAGCAACAATAGAGTATAAATTTAATTTTAGGGTATCTATTTATCAATAAATCACATAATATTTTTTATAGTGAAAAATCAATGTAACTTTTAAGATAAGCAAAAATTTTAAAAATGAATAATGTTTATTGTTCAAACCCCCAAATTTAAAAAAAAGCAGTTCAGATAAAAGATGGAATAAAACAGAATAATATGTACATATGGAATAATTGATGCTTTATAACAGATGGAAAACACAGAATCATACATTTGAATGGTTTCCTGTGAAGAGGAGCAAGAAGGGGGTGTAAAAATGAATGAATGGATAGGTTAGCAAATAAAAATAAAAATGGATCTTAGATCAATGAAACATGAGACATGAATTAAAGTATGAAACTAATAAAACATTTGATTACATGCACAGTTATATGAAGACTGAGGTCTTTAAATAACATCAAAAACATCAAAGAGAAAAATCACTTCTTAAAATGTTATGCAAGTTTTTATTTTTTACCCAGTAATCAATTATGATTTTAATTCATTAATGTATCAAATATTTATTGAATGTTTGCTGTATTCACACTTAGTGTTAGACAGTACAATGTGGAACAGGTAGTAATTTGGTAATAATGGGGTTAATAATTTGATGGTAATGACACTAAACTAAAAGTAACATAACATTTTTTGAATAGYTGTGTTGCATTGAACACTGTTTTAAACACTTAAAACACTTCATCCCATTGAATCCTCACACACCTTGTATGTTAGATATAGTTCTTATCCTTATATTATGAATGAAAAAGTTGAGTCAGAGGTTGGCATCTTGTTAAAGATTTACAGGTGGTTACTGGAAGAGATAGGTTTGGAAGGTAAGCAGTATGGCTCTACAGCTCTCATTCTTAGCCACTGTTTTGTGCTGCCTGGTAATCATAAATACGATGAGTGTCAATCAGAAGATCAGGGCAATAACAGGGAAGTAACCTAGTTTGGCAATCAGGAGGAGAAAGGGACATTTATGAAGATACTTAAAATATCATCAGGAATAAGTAAAAGAAAATGAGCATGTTTTCCAGAATGAAGGCAGAGTACATACAATGATCCAAATGGGGGAAAGACCAAGGCACCCAGAAGTCTAGTAAGAACAGAGTTTGAAGAGCAAGGTAGGGATGGGAATGCACAACATTAAAGGCCTAAGCAAAGATCAGATCTTCCAGGGTTTTCTGCACATCATCAAGAATGCTGAAACATAGCCCAAGGAATGGGAAGCAGAAAAATGGTATAGACAAAACAATAATTTAAAGTTATCAATCTTAAAATGAACCCAGCTATTATGTATAACCATAATGCACTAATAAAAGCATTAAAAAATAAAAACATAAAAAAAAAACCTCACCACATCAATCTTGCAACAGTTGAGACAACTGATTAGAAGGCTGCAGGTACCCAGAAATGCCAGTTGGGATACTACCATTATAACATCTACAAAACATTATGTCAGTGAGTTGAGGATAGTGTTAGAAATATTTATGAAAGTGAGCACACCCCAGAACACTTTGCAGTAGATGATCAGAACTCATTGTGGCAAGGCTTAAAAGGAGTGAAAGTTGGCAGGGATGACATCATTATTGCCGTTTCAACTAGGGACAGATGTAGTACCTTTCTTGAGACATGGCTCTCCGGAAGAAGAAAACATTTTTGTRGAAGTTTATGAGTTTCATTTTAGGGTCACTTTTAGACATTTATGTCAATAAGAAGTAGATATTTGAACAAAAGGCTTGAGAGTTTTTGAGAGGGCTCTGGCCGAAGATAAAATCTGAAAACTGTTTTTCATATAGAAACTGAAGCCTGGGGGTGCTCGAAACCTCCTAGGAAAAAGAGCAGGCACAGAACAGTGCCCAGGAGTTGGAGAAYTAAAGTGCAATGATTGGGTAGAGGGGAAGGAACTGGCCAAGGCCACTGGGAACAAGAGGTTGGAAAGGAAGATATAAACAAGGGTGTGGATGTCTCAGAAGCCCAAGGAGGAGAATTTATGAGAAAGACAATGGCCAAAAATGTCAGAAGGTCAGAAGGGAGAAAGATGCAGCTAGGAGAGGGACTGTTGGACTTTTTAATACAAAGCCAGTGATCAGGTTCAGCGGAGTTCTGAAGGTGAAACATGGAAGGCCGGGTGGGAAGCGGCAGCAGGGGTGAGGAAATGGAGCCATTCCATATACACAGCCATTAAGGAAGCTTGAAATAGGGGAGAGAGTGAGGGATGCAGCTGGAGAGAAATAGGTCTAAGAGAGTCCTTTAGTTCTTAAGATGGAAGAGACAATTAAATTTATGTATTCTTTGGAAGGAGCTGGCAAAGAGTGAGAATTTCACTATTTAAGAGAAAGAGAAGAGATGGTGATGTTTTAGAATGCCATGGGCAGCATCTAGAGTCAGATTAATCTTTGGCACTTGGAAGGTGAGCACACAAGAGAAGCCAGCATAGGCATAGAGGGAGATGTGGTATCGTTTTTAAGTGAAAATAATTTAAATTATTTTCCCCCGATACATTTTTCAATATTTAAGTTGTAGGTTCCTGACTTCAGTCAGGAATTCAAGATGTCATTAACAGTGAAAGAATAAACACTTCTGACTCCAAACATTGACTTCCACTTAAATCTTGGCCTCCCTTTAGGTGTTTCATCTGCATATTAACAAGAGGCGGAGAATGTGAAGGGAAGAGAATAAATGAGAAGCATTTGACTACAGACACCATACCAGGTTTAGGAAAACCAAGGCGAGTAGGACATGGCCATTTGCCTAGAGTAAGTAGAAGGTGTTGGGATAGCGGCAAAGATACAGATATAGAAGTATAACACAGGGCAACCTATGCAGCTGCTATCTTTGGGGTATTTACAAGATGCTTTTGATCACACAGGAAGAGAAATACAGCCTGGAAGAACTGGAAATATAATCAACATTTTTATTTTTCAATATTTATTCTACTGCACTTTACAGATTAGAAAGTGTACTTTCATAGAAATTATATTTGCTTAATTAATTCACTTGGAATTAGTAACACATGTGCTTCTGTTTTGGTCAGATTTACTCATTAAAAAAAAAAAACCCGATGTGATTCTGCAATCTGTATACAGGGTAAAAATGGGAGTTCATAACCCACTTGAATCAAATGTATGAAATATGTGAAGAACTATGTAATGTTTTGAACAACCAATAATAAAAATTAAAAAAAAAAGCCCTCAAAGATATTTATTAAGCACCTACCCTGTGCAAAGCACTGGAAATAAAAGACAAGTGTTTCACAGACAGCAAACTTTGGTTGGTATTAATACTCCTTATATATCACAGTAAATTATTAAGTACCTATAATGTGTATTCCCTGTGCTAAACACTGGAAATACAAAGACAAATGTTTCACAAACAGCAAACTTTGGTAGGTATTAGTACTCACTATATATCACAGTTAAAAAAAGAAAATCCATCATGCTAAAGAAAAGTGTTTTGAAGAGAATTTTTTTCATGAAAATGTCAGGTATTTACAAATGAGCTAAAATTATAAATATATGCAAATACTTATATATGTCATTATATTATACATAATTATATATACTGATAATATATCATAACATATTCATAATATATAACTCATGCAAAGGGAATCTTTTATAATGATTTTATCATTTCTAATTTAATGAAAGCAGCTGCATCTCATGAACATAAAATTATTCTTTTTTGGTAGACAATGCCTTTTTTTTAGAAAAAATATATAATTTTTATATATGTATACTTATGGATTTCATATATATGTGTGTGTATATATATTTATTTATATATATGGAGTTTTTAGCATATATGAGAATTTAAGTCTTACAAATGAATTAGGTGTGGTGGTGATTTTTAAGGAATTAATTTAACGCCAAAAAGTGATTTTTCTTCTCTCCAGGAAGGATGTTAGGTATAACAATATAAATTCAATATAAATTCTGCAGTTGAGGACCAAAACTGGTTCCAATCAGGCCTAGTAGAAACATTTTYATGATAGAAAATCTATATTTGTTTCTACCTGCACTAAAGTTGCAGTATTTCAGATTTCAAATTTTTATTTTACTTTCACCTATGAAGGAGTAATTGCTTTCTCTTGAGGGACTGAAAAATATAAAAACGGCCTTCATAGAAGTTTTGTACTTTATAAATCCTACTAGCTACAGTAGGAAGAAGAAAGGAGATTGAATGAATGCCGGCTCCACATATTGATCAAGTTAACTACAGGAAATAAGTTATATAATGCAGAACRTGGCTTCCTTGCCTTTTCAAGCATCCCTAACAGATGGTTTTAGAACTGGGCTCTTACCATGAACATTGAGGTTAAAATATTTTTTGGCACTTCCAGCGGTGTTCCCAGCCACACACACATACCTGCCGATGTCTGTTATTTGAGTATTTAGAATCTAAGGAGAAAAAGAATTAGTCACTACTAGAATTTAAATGAAGCAACTTGTAACATTTGTCATTTAAAAGAATATACGTTATATATTCTATCGAGTTAATATCAGATGTACATAAGAAAATGAATTTTTTTGTGCATACTGATGCTGATGATGGCTTTTTGGTCATTCTTTAGAGTTGTCCCACCACTGTGTGATGGAGCCATGACTGGCTTGCTGGACGCTGTGATCAAGTGTAGCAGAATCAGCCCAGTTACTGCATTTGAGGCTCTGAATATGTGTAAGAGCTCAGACAAGATGGTTAGAGCCATGGCGTCAATCCACAACTCTGTGCAGACACTTGAGTAAGCCCAGACGACACCAGAAACATCACATAGGCAACGAGCAGACCATGGGCTAAATAAATGCTTATTTCAAATCATTAAGTTTTGGAGTGGTTTGTTTTACACAGCAATAGTTAGTTAATATAGCAGTATATTTTATTTATTGTAGTATGCAGAAATTTCTATGAATCCATCTATGTATCTTTTGGCTTTAGACACAAAAACATTTAAACATTTTGGCAGAGGATGTGTGATAATAAAGTAGAAATATTCATGATACTTAGATAATAATTTGAGAATGGCAGGTAGTGAGCCTTTTTGCATGAAGAACTCTGTTATATCTGACTACTGTGTTGGATATGCTGATAGTTATGCTTAGATTCTTGGAGGTCAATACATTGTTGTTTATTATACTCAAACTATAACCTAAAGCATATATTTACAAAATAATTGTTATTTCTATACATGCTTAACTTTCTTTAAGGACACTTGAGTAGAAAAACATAGAAACACCCATTAATAAACAACAATCCAGTATATTCATGTGGTTTCCATTATTACTTGTTAATAAGGACACATTTTAATATATAGTGAATGTTACACCACATAGAATTTTATCACCAGGAAATATGTAACAGAAAGGATGACAGTAATGAGTTTTTTTTTTWAATTGTGGCTTTTAACACAAAGACTATATCATGTACACGTAGAAACAGTTTCTAGAAAAATTCATATCAAATTGTTAACAATGATGATTTCTGACAGTGGGAATAAAATGGGAAAGAAGAATTTTAGTTGGATATTCTTGAAGTTCTTTACACATACAGCACTTATAAACTAATAAAATTATTTTTAAAAATCCGAGGCAATTATTACAATGTACAAAATCAAAAGAGTGTTTTGAAATGAGATTTTTACTTTTACCTGTAGAATTCTGCCATTAGATAGAAATTTATGATGATCATCTTCTAGCAAGGGCTGTCCATCTTTTTGCCAGGAATTCCTGGGTGCTGGGCTGCCGCTGGATGAACACTCCAACAGGGCACTCTTGTTCACCAGCACAGTGACCTCTTCAGGGAGATCACGATTTGCTCCCTTGATAACTGGTGGCACTAACAAATGATTGCAACGAAGATATTGACAGGCAACAAGGGCTTTTCTAARTTATTTGAGTTCTCTAACAGCTTTAAACAATAATTACTGCTGAGGATGGGGCAAAAGGAACACTTAAGCCTTGCTGGTGGGACTTCAAATTAGCATAACCCTTTGGGAAGCAGTATAAATATTCCTCAAAAGACCAGGAATGGAACCACCATATGACTCAGTCCTCTCACTCCTTGGTATTTATCCAAAAGAACTAAAATCAACATACTATAGTGATGCATGCATACCAATGCTTATTGCAGCACAATCCACAATATCCAAATTATGGAACCAATCTATACACCCATCAATAGAGGAATGGATAAAGAAAATGTGGTRTATATATACACAATGGAGTTCTACTTAAAACCACAAGGAAGATAAAATTATGTCATTTGAGGGTAAATGGATGGAATGGGAGAATAGCATGCTAAGTGAAATAAACCAGACTCTGAAGATGGAGGGAAGAATGTTTTCTCTTACATGTGAAAGCRCGAGAGGAAAAAAGGAATTAAAAAAAAATGGAAAGGGGGATCTTGTGAAAATAGAAGGGAGATCAGCGGAGTAGAAGTGGAGGAGGAGAGGGAAAGAGGAACAACTAGAGAATGAAATTGACCGAATTAYACTAGAAGCATGTATGGCTATTTCACAGTGCATTCCAATTTTATATATAACTATAATACATCAATTAAGAAATAGGTAAATAGGAGGAATATTAATAGATTAGAGGAAGGGATCAGGTGAGTGAGGTGGCAAAGGAGGTGGATAGTACTTGTGATTGAAATGAGAAAACTATGTTATATGCACTTATGAAAACATCAAAATCAGCCGCAGTATAATGTGTAACTACAAAGCACTAAAAAAAAAAAAAAAGCTTGATATGATAACAGAGAAGCAAATCTTGAAGGAGAAACCACAATCCTCAAGGAATGTGGATGGTGACAATAGTATTTGGGTTTGGGTTACTCACATCCCTGTCTTAGCTATGCTGGGCTAAATCCTCTAACAGTATCATTCCCACTTAGCTCAGTTTGAGATCTTTCCCAAAACATCTTGTCTTGCTTTTCTCTTAGCTTCTCCCACTATGCCTTCTGGGATTTCAGGCATACATATAAGAAGCATCTGTATAAATCAATATTTAAGATTAATTATAGCTTTTAAAGTGTATTTGAAAAGTTCATATTTGGTCTTACTTATAAGGGATACATCTGGACTGTTCAAAGTCTGTTTTTCAGCTTCAACAAGAGTCGGATCAGCATTAGCATCACCAGCAGCTTAGTTAGAAACACAAATTCTTRGGCCCCAACCAGACTTCCTTAATAGGCATCTCTAAGAATTCATTTTTAGTAAGCTCTCCAAGGTGATCCTTAAGCACTCTAGAGTTGAGAAGTTTTGTTCTAGATTTCCGAACATATTCATTCTCATTTAAAAGAGAATACCATAGAATTACATGCCAGTATGAAAAATCATATTACTCAGAGAATTTTTCAAAAATTGAAATGTTAATTGAACTAGGAATATATGTGTCAGCTGCTTTTATAAACATAAATATTTATTTTCAAAGCGAATAATCATTCTTTTGTTTTAAAAGTTTAGTCCTTTTTTTGTTTCACTCTGWTAAAATATACCATCTTGGTTAGCCATCAGTGAAGATGGCCATGTTYAATGTACATGTAGCCTTGTGGTATTTGGGTCTCCAACAATTAAACTGAAATTCTGTAAATAAAGTAATCAGTGCCACTAAGCACATAACAGAATCTTAACATTATGTTGCATGAATACGTCCACACTGATGGTTATTATTTTTACTGATGCTGGCTCTACTGTTTCCTCAGTGCCTAGCACAGTGCCTGCCACATGGAGACCAGCAGGCATTTCATGTCAAATCAATTTTGAATTTTAGTATTTTCTCTCTTCTATCCTTTTCAGGCTTTCTTTATAAACTGCTCTTTGCACTGAAAACAAAGTCAAAAAAAAAAAAGAAGAAAAGAAAGGTCAAATCTTGTTGATCTTTTTAAAACCACAGAAGCCAGACATGACAGCTCTGCTCTGAGATTYATGAGTGAATAATTTCTCTCTCTCCCTTTCTCTTTGTTTAAGCCATTTTGTTATYTGATATCCCAGGAGGACTGACTAATGTACTCTCAATTTGTATAGAAGACAATTCATTCCTTGGACGAGCTCTCAGTTTCTGATTATCTTATAGTCTCCAGAGTGCTTAGGGTAACATCTTGCAAACATTAGTTCCTGAAAAAATTGTTTTGAGTGAAAGAATTCATAAGAAACAAAAGAAAACAAACTCACAGAGTACACGGACGTCATACTGCAGCGAATCTTCTCCAGCTTCATTCATAGCCACGCATGTGTATCTCCCAGCATCTTCAACTTTAGCCCGGGGAATCTGCAACACTCGCCCTCCTAAAAACACCGCAGTATGTTTTACTGTTCTAAATCTCAGGGTGAACACAGCTCATAAATAGAGATATGATTAATTTTTCACACCTAATGACTTCCTTGCATTTTCTTTTAAGGTTCCTACTTCAACCAATCATCCACTTTTAATTTCAGATACCAACCATCTTCTTAACAAATACTACATTATCAAAAGTGATACAATATTGAAATATGAATCAGATCTCCTGAGAAATAAACAGCGACCTTGTACTTTTATAAAATATGAATATTTTAAATGATGCTTATTGCTTCCTACAAGTATTCATTTGAGAAAGTAATATTTGGGGATGTGAAAGTATAAAGTGAACTATTATTACATACGAGTATGTGCAATATTATGCATACAATATTGAAAGAATAGCTAGCTGTGTATTTAGACTTATCATGTTGAGAATTTACACTAGGATAAAAGTTGCAATAATTATATAAAAACTTTCATCTATGCCCACTAGTTATTTATACTCTGCTTTATTTTTTGTTGTATACATTTTATCTTTTTCTAAAGCATTTGAGAGTAAGCYGGAGGCATCATAATCTGTATTTCACAATAAGGGTAGTTCCTTACATAACACTAGCACAATAATCAAAAGTAGTAAGATTAAAATGAATACAAACTACTCTCGAATTCATATTCTATATTCAAATTTCATTAGTATTGCAACATTTGGAATAAATTTTCAGCCATTTTTTTCCGCAGACCCACTTGCAACTTAGGATCCCATATTACGTATAGTTGTCATACCTATTTAGCCTACTTTCATTTAAAAAAAATTTTCAAGATATTCTTTTACTTAACTGAGGTCAAATTCACATATATTTATTTAGTGTACTGACCTTAAGTGTATGATGTGATGAGTTCTGACATGTCCCRATATTTTGAAAAGCTTTCAAAATATTATTCCACAACACTCTTAACATCTTTTCCATCAACAAACCATGTAATGACTAAAATATTTGAAATTATCTTAACCATTTATTTATGGTAAGTGCATTTAATAAATTGAATAGTAACTATTTGCAAATATGCATCAGAATTTAGATTAGTAATATACAGAAACCAAACATTATCTCAATGTACTAATAGAGAAAAGGAGGCACGAAGAAGCCCAAGGACTTTTGTAAGTTGGTAGAATGATCCTGTAGTAGATTCAAAAATTTACAGAAGTGTTCTATGCTATTGTCAAATTCTCAAGCTAGACAGTCCCAGATTGAAGTATATGYACACCGGTGGCACTCAGGGGACTGTCAGTTAAATTACATGAACAGAGAGTCTAATTCATTTGTTTAGTAAAAGAGAAGAGACATATTTGGCATGGACTTATACCTTTACTTTGTTCATAGAAATCTTTACCTACCTGGTAAAATCAATACTCTGTCACCTGAGGTCAGAGGACGGCCATCTTTGTACCAGGTCAGTGTAGGAGGAGGAGCAGCATTTGTCTCACAGTAGAGGGAAATGGGATTATTGATGATCACATCTTTGGCTTCACCATTCCTGCCGGTATCTAGCATGTTTCCAATTTCCCAGAGTTTCTGAAAACTTGGAGGAACTATGGAGGAAATGAATTAAGTTTTGGTTATGTGTGAACTGTCACTTGTCAATTCATTAAGCAAAGATTTCGACCGTATTTTGACGAGAATGATTTGTAAATGTAATAAGTTAGGCAACATAAAAATATTTTCAAGTACTTGGGCACCTACCAATGCACTTAGCCACACAAAGAAGTGGAGAAATTCAGAGTTGGTTCACATATGAAAGAACAAGAAATATGAGACTCAGAAGGCTACTCTAGTGCTCTGCTCTCCCTATAAAGAGCTCTGGCACTTGTACAACAAAGGGACCCATTCTTAGGAGTAGCAGGGCTAAGGAATACGATCATAGCAGGATGTTTTCATGCTTTTCTGGAAATAAGTTTGAACTTTCTTGAAGGCAATTTGCCTGTACATAAAAAGCATTAAAAAAGTATATGACATCTAATCTAAAATTTCCACTTTTCGAAGTTTATGAAAAATCAAAAATGTGCAAAAGTTGTATGGATACTGATATTCAATCTAGTGTTATTTGTGATTAATGAAAACTTGGAAATAACCCAGATGTTCAACAATGGGAATCTGGTTAAATAAATATCTGGATGATAAACTGATGAAAACAGGCAGAGTTCTTCAAAATCATGTTCCAGGCTAAAGAGTGTAGCACGGGTAGTAGAGGGCATGTTTAGCATGCATAAGTTCCTAAGTTCCTTTCCCAGCACAGAAAACAAAACAAATCCATATAGAGTAGTAATTTCCAGAATGTCAATGTCAACCACAATCAGAGCAGGCATCATTTCTCAATCATTTTAATGACAGCTTACAAATGAGTGAATACTCATTTGGTATTCACTGCAATTCTACAAGGCATACATTTTAGAAGTGAGAAATGGGGGCCTACAATATTTAGGTAACTTGYCCACTTAGCTGTAATTACCATCTAATTCAAAGTCTAACTAGTGTGAATTTTGCTCTTTATTGCTTTTCTGTCTTTCATGTAAATGCCATTTTAAAAATGTCATGAAGAAATGTTAGAGAAATGTTAATGTAATAGAGAGGTCTGTATTATGTGATCCAAATCTATAAATGAAGTATACATTTAAACAAATAACAGAAGAAAGACATAATAACAGAAGTCATTCTGAGAGATGAAATTATGTCTTTCTCCCTTAATTTCAAAATTTCAATAATGATTTTATGTTACTATCAACAGAAATAAAACTATTTAAAATAATCCATGCYAAATCTCTATTGCATTGTTTTGACAGATAATGTAAATTAAGCTTTATACAATAAACATATTAGTGTTACCTTGAATATTCACATCAAAATCCAACTCGTCTTCACCTGCTAGGTTAGATGCTACGCAAGTGTATCTTCCAGTGTCTGATATTTGAGCTTCTTTTATTTGAAGCGTGTGTCCATTTGTAGCAATATTAATATGATCGTCTGATTTCAGCGGCTGTGATCCAATTATAATAATGTTAACATTAGGTACTCTCATAAATCCTCTAAGACACCATGCAGTTCATCACTTAATAATCTCAGTTTCAAGTTCTTACTCTTTGACTACCACCACCTAACTTTAATTCGCTTTCGGAAGTATCCCAGCTCCAATAATTTTTGACCTCCTAGGAGAACCTTGCAATCTTTCAYGCTGCTCATCCTAAATCTGCACTCTCCTGTTAGCCAGAAAAGGTCTACCACGATAATCACTCTTTGTATAACCCTTCAACTCTCTTGTCCCTTCTCCCTTTATTTCGGTCCACTGGAAAAACTAACTCTGATGAAGACTAGTCTCTGTCCATTCTGGGACTCCCCTGGTCTCCTCAAAGGTCGTTCCTCCACTATCTGTGTCCTCTCTCACTTGCATCATCATCGATTTATTCATTCCTCTGAAGAGTTTCAATATTGAAAAAAATTCTCTTTCGCTGCAACCTACTCCTACATTTTCAATGGCCCTTGATAGTCAACTAATTTTAAAATGTTTTCCTCACTTGCCGTCTCCAATTTCTTTCCTTTCACCTTTTCTTGAATCTGATCCAATCAATTTTTTGTCATCTCTACTAGACCAAAAAGACTTGCCAAGGTCACCAGTGACGTCCACATTGCTAGATTTATTGGCCAATTCAAAGTCTTTATTTAACCTGCTCAGCAGTATTTGACATGGCTTGACCCATCTTCATTTTGAAATACTTTCTCCCTCTTATCTTTTGAGACGCAACACTTCCTACTCCTCAACCTCCAAACATCGGAGTATTCCAGAGCTAAATCTCTGCATTTCTTCTCCTTCTCTCCAATMTCACTCTCCTAATGATGTCATTCAAAATCCTGGGCTCATCTCTTTCCTTCACACTCCATATCCTGCTACCACTGTGGCCCAAGCACCACCTACCTTCTGGACCACTGTAATACCTTCAGAGCTGGACTGCAACTACAGAAACCAATGCAACCTTTTTGAAACCTTAAGTCTGCCCTAGCATGTCTCATCTTATCAGTCCTTCTGTGTTCACTCTTTCCCCTTAGGCATTCTCACAGGACATGGGCACACTGGCACAGGAGGCAGGAGACCTGGCACCTCGCTGTTCTTTGGATCACATCTTCTGTGTTTGGTTACTGCACTGCAGTCCAAATGTCTCAGGGCCTTTGTTCTGGCTACACACTCTACTTTGGAATATTTCTTCTCTGAAATCTTATGTCTGCTCCCTTCATTGTCTTTGGGTATTTGCTTAAAGGCCACCTTATCACAGAGGCCACCTTATCACAGAGGCCTTATCACAGTTTTAAAGGATCACAGTTCCCACACTTGGTATCTTCTCCTTGACTGAGTTTTCTCCATGACACCTACCCTTGCTGACACATTCTGTGTTTTACTGGTTTGTTTAGTTTTTGCCTCCTCAAACTTATATAGAGATTTTTTTTAATCTATTTCTTTTAAAGGAATATCCCCTTCACCTAAAACCATGTCTGAAAAAAATACCTGCTTAATAAACAATTTGGGATGCAATGAATCATTATTAACCTTATAACACATGAAAAGCATAGTTTAAGTTTTCTATGTTAAAATAAAAACTTCAGAACCTGCATAAATAAAAGTCAAAGATTCTTTCAGAATTTATTGTGGTTACTACTGCAAATGCAAATATTTCTCATGTTTTTTTTTTTCCTTTCAAAAACAATGCTTCAGCTGGGCACAGTAGTGCACACCTCCAATCTAGTGGCTTGGGAGGCTGAGGAGGAGGATCTCAAGTTCAAAGCCAGCCTCAGCAAAAATCAACATGCAAAGCAACTCAGTGAGACCTTGTCTCTAAATAAAATACAGAATAGGGCTGGGGATGTGGCTCAGTAGTCAAGTGCCCCTGAATTTAATCCCTGGTACCCCMAAACAAACCACCACCACCAATAACAACAAAAACAATGCTTCACAAGCAGCATTGCTTGTCTGAAGAAAGAAATAACAAAGTAGAAACAGTACTTCTTATTCAGATTGTAGGGAACAAATCCCAAGTCATGAAAACTTTAGCAGTTTAATGCATCATACATAATTTGATCAATTCCAGAGTCAGAATTTGAAATTGTAATTTAACTATAATGAAGTTAAAAAAACCTTTATTTCTACTATAATTCTAGTCTTTATCCCATTTTTCTGTGTGTGTATATGTGTTTGTGTATGAGCGTACAGGTGTGGGAACTAAAAGGGATGAGAAAGCTTAATAAATAATTTAAAAATATTAACACCACTTTGAAGTAGAAAGGAATTGTTTCCAAGTAAACTTATATAGAATTGGTATTATACCATGGAGTATGTATGTAGTCAGAAAAGAAACTATAAACAGAACATGGTGGGGGTTCTATAGTTTTCCTTTTGCAATGGCTTCCAGATGAAACTTGCTTATATGAGATGATTTTYCCCCCCCCTGGCTGCCAGTATTGTAAAATTCATCTGGGATCTGAGAAAATAAAGCTTAATCTTTCCTGCATCTTAAATCATGACTATGACCTGAAGTACACGTGGAATTTAACTGACCATTTGGTTGATTATGTGTAAAACAGAATAAACAGCAGCCTAGCTATTTCACATCTGTATTAAGAATTGTTAACAGCAGCTAAACGTCTATTTTGGCCCAAGAACGCCAGCACATGTCTTTATAACATGCATGGATGAATGTAAATAGGGTGTGTGGCCTGAGAGAGAGCACAGAACTGAATGATCTGCTTTTTATATAATCCTTCTCATTGCCCCCAGGTAACTGTATTGGGTCCTTCCTCAGTTCTTTTAGCCTACTTTTTCCTTATCTTGGAATATTAAAAATGTTATCTTTCATAAAAGAGTTAAAGATGTTCAGAGAACGTTCTGAATACATTCTGTATTCCCGTTATACCCATTATTCCAACCTGACTTAGCACCACATATGCATTTTTTCCCTAGAAAGTTTACTTTGTGAAGCCACAGAACAGAAACACGTTCCTGAACTTCTCCAGTGTGGGGCTGGGGACAGGTTTTCAGTCAACTGAAATGTACACAAAACAATCCTGCAGGCTTTCTAGTGAGGGTATAATACCAACATTGTTGAGCATGAATTTTGTTCATTTGTATTTTTTTTTTTTTTTTTTTTTTAGTTCTTGGCAGTTTTAGATTTTGGAAGAATGGGGTTTTCTAGTTTTAAGGTCACAATGATTCTCTGAGTTGCTTCTGCTCCACCCCCTTTTAAATTGACTCATTTACTCTTTAAGAAATCATCAGCAAATAAAAATAGTTGTGACTGGCCTGTCCGTCCTTGTACCAGCTGAGGGAGGCGGAGGGGATTGCATATGCTTCGCATTCCAAGGTCAGGGTGTTGTTTACTTTGATCTTTACTTCCTTAGGGGAAAGACCTGGTCCCAAAAGGTCCCCTTTATTGATTATGGGAGGAACTGCATGAAATGAATATGAAAGAATTAAACRTTGGTACTTTTATAAATACACAGAATACCAAGAAATCAGGATGAGGCTCACTTACCAAGAAACCAAGAGAATGACAAAGGCATTTCCTATGCTGCCCTTTCACTCACTCAGGACCTGTGTTATCATCTTATCAAACGGTAGTAGCTTTCAGATACCAAATGCCAAGGAAAGTATCCTTCTCCCTTTGTCATAAAACTGCCAAAGAGGCTAATGTCCTTTATAGAACAGCTAGTTTCATTGGATCCAGGTCCATAGACACTGTCCAAGCACGCCCCATAAAATGCATTTTATTGTTCATTTAGGTACCAAGTCAAAGAACAAATGACCATCAGAAAAACACTTTCTTTGTAAAAACAGGAAGAAAATCCTGAAATGTGGATCCTATTAATGGCAGTATTAGCTTTCCCTTGTATTTATAGGTCAATGTACATTGCAATAGGCCCAAATCACGGATGATCTCATCTTGGGCTATGAATTAAGTCATGTGCGCTTAAATAAAAGCTCTGCACATGGAATTACTATAACTCAGCCCAGAGAGTAGGTCAGAAGGAAAAATAGAGAAATTTAAGGAAGTGTCACAGACAAGGTCTTCAACAAGAAGGTAGTGAGCTAATTGAGGGGGCTCTTCACATCTTTAAGCAATTGAGGTCATGGGCACAATGCTTAGTTCAACTTCCATCCTTAATGAAGCAAGCTGGATAAACAAGAGTCATTAGTGATCAGTATAAATAATGATGAACCCATAATGAAAAACAGGATGGAGAAAGCTAGAAAAGTTAGAAAGATATGGATCTGTTCTTTTGGAACTTACTGTAGACCTTCACTTCATAGTGCTTTATCATTTCCCCGGCCTCATTAGTGGCCACGCAAGAGTATCTTCCAGCATTTTCCTCCTGTGCATTGAGGATCTGCAGAGTTCTACCTCCTAAAAAAAAAAAAAAAAAAAAACATGAAATGTTAAAGAATCCCTGACATCACAGTGGCAAAGTATGCAGGATTTTAGTTCTTACTGTTAACACATTTCTTCCTAAACAAGCCAGTTGTCTGGTAGACATTTGAGAACAAACTGCAATGCAGATGGACACTGAATGGTGGGTAAGGACAGTCACCAAGTCCCCCAGTGGTCCTCTGTGGTGGTGACTCTCATGCCCCTTCTGACACTCCCATTCCTCTGGACATCACTCAAGCTGAATCCTTATTTCACTCTCCTCAAAATTAGGTTTCTGCCTTGATCTTCTTTCTCTCATTTATCCGGCCTCTTCTTAGAGATGAATGGTGCTAAAGTACAATTTTTATTATGGCCCCTTCCTCCCTAAAAGTCTTCAATGGTTTTCAACTATGTAAAGGATCAAGTCAAACTTTCGATTCCAGGCATTCAGAACATGGCTCCCACCTTCCTCCCTGACCTTACTGCTGCCCTTCTCTCCCAGCACAAGTACATGCAACGTCTCCCTTCAAGTGAAGAGTGAGAAGGCTGCTTACTGCTTGCAGATGGCCAGACTGGTCTTGTTTCCAACCTTTCTCACACTAGTCATCCAGATGGATCTAAAACTCCCAACTCCCTGCCAATTAAGTAAATTCTAGAACTTTCTCTGAAGTTGGGTTCATGTTCTGACTAAGTAATAAAGTTGGCCCACGGTAACCATTTCTGCCCATGGTAACCATTTCTTCTTTTGAATTTTTACAAAACTTCACTATCCCATTTTTCACACCCCTTACTATTCATAGCCCATAATTAATAATAGAATGATATCATTAGTTGTTTTTCACACTTATTATCTCTTTTCTACATAAAACCATAAATTTCTTAAAGCCAGTGCTTCTACTTTTAATTATTTCTTTTWAAAAATTTTAAAAATTTGTTTTAATTATTATATATGATAATAGAATGCATTTATGCACTTTGATATACATAGATGGAATATAATTTCTCATTTTTCTGAGTGTACATGTTGCAGAATCATATTGGTCATGTAGTCACATATGTACATACAGTAATAATAATGTCTGTTTCATTCTACTATCTTTCCTATCCCTGCATCCCCTCCCTTCCTCTCCCATCACTTCCCTCTACCTAATCTAACACAACACTATTCTTCCCTAGTACCCCCTCCATCTAATTGTGAATTAGCATCCACATATTAGAGAAAACATTTGGCCTTTGGTTTTATGGGATTGGATTATTTCTCTTAGAATGCTATTCTCCAACTCCAACAATTTACTASCAAATGCCATACTTTGAGTCTTCTTTAAAGCTGAATATATATACCACATTTTCTTTGTCCATTAATCTATTGAGGAACCCCTAGGTTGGTTCCATAGTCTAGCTATTGTGAATTGATCTGCTATAAACATTTTTTGTGGCTGCGTCACTATAGTATACTGATTTGAAGTCCTTAAGTTCTTTTTAATTATTTCTATTTTCATGTGTGTGTATATACATATTTTCAGGTATTAAATATGAATAATTAAACTCTCATAATCTAAATATAAACTCTGCTTGAAGGTTCAATTCAATATAGAAATGAATTTCTACCCTTTCTGGCGTTCCACATACAATACAGATTAGCAATTAATTATGTTATGCCATTTATCTTTTTTTTGGTAGTTTTCTGATATTTCAGACAGTAATTTTCAGTACTTTAGATTATAAGATACATTACAATCTAAGAAAAAATTATAARTTAAAATATCAATACAACATAACACAACCAACAACACAGGCACTTGAATAAAAATTAATTGACAATTCTCCTTTTCTACAGTAGTAGATGACACAAATGCACTCCGGGCATCTGAGGTTAATTAATTACCTGGAAGAATACGAATATTTCGGCTGGATTCTAAAGGAGCTCTGTCCTTAAACCAGGTGATGGTAGCTGGAGGATATGAATATGCTTCACAGACCAGGGACGTGGGGCTGTTGAGGATGACAATGACGTCTTCAGGGCTGCCGTTGCTATCTACACCAGCAATTGTAGGAGATACTGAAAAAGATTAAAAATTTGATTAGAGAAAGGTATTTGGAAACTTCTCTATTTTTGTATTTCTAAATTGCCATTGCACTTATTTATGGAATGCTGTTTTGCAACAGTTAGAAATATAATTATTGTTCTTGTTTGATGCAAAAAGCARCAAGATGCCTCAAAAAGCTCACAGGGTAAAGAAGGAGATGACACAAAGAAAAAGACTACATTGCATAAAGCCCTCAGGATGAGGGGAATGTTGGTGCCAGGCAAGTGGGGGTCCAGGCTGAGGGGCGTGGTGTGCAGTCTGATCAGAGGAGGCTCCTGGAGGAGTTTTAGAGTGAGTCTTAAAGAGTCGTGGTAGTTAGCTGGTGACAGAAGGGACACCAGGAGCATACTGGAGCAGAGTAGCAGTAAACAATGTGGACAAGCAGGGGAGTGGTTCAATATGGAAGCCAGGATAACAGAGACAGATGCCTTTGCTTCATCAGATGAAGAGAGGCGAGAGGGTGACTTGGAGCTCTGAAAGAGGGTGTAAAGAGGAAGGACCGACTAGAGCAAGAGCAGGACATTATTTGGCAGGACTTGATGATAGAATCTGGAGACTATTAAAAATTGAAGCCAAGGACAACTTTCAATTTCTTGCTTGGGAAGCTAGTTGAAATGCAGCAAAAGAACTTACGAAGAAAAACACTGAACGATTTGCTCCCATAAGAGGGGAAGGTGATTTTTTTTTTTCTGATTCTGAATACCTTTAATTTTAAGTGCCTATATTCCAGGTAGAAATTCCAATAAGCAATTCTATACCAGAATCTGAAACTTGTGAGAAAGATCTAGGTTGTAGATATGGAATTTAAAAGTGACCAGTCTACAGGAGATAACAATTAAATATCAGGGAATTAATTTAATTACTTGAAGAGACAATGTAGATTAAAAATAGTTATGAAGCAAGAACAGATTTCTAGGGGTCCCAAWGTTGAAGCAACAGATCAAGCAAGAGGGAGGCTAGGAGAGAACACTGCTATGGAAAAAGGGATCAATYGTGAACAAACATCAAGTTCAAGACTGAGAAGTATTTCTTGGACCCAGTAATGGGGTATATCTTGCTGGAGCAGTGTCAGAAGTGGAGTAGTCAGAAGACTGTTTTTGGTGAGACAGACAGCACACACAAGTGCATGGAAATGGAAGAAAGAGTAGAAGGTAAAGCTGCACATTCAGACAGGCAGTGGGAGTGAGCGACTTACCAAAGAAGATGGAAACACAGAGGATCAATATCTAAGTGCACACAGTAAATGTGAACAAGGAGGATAACTCCTCTTTTGGAAAAAGAAAGGCCAAAGACACTGGGTTTATGGCTCTGTGGGTTGCAACCATACACACTCAAGTAGTCACACTCACTAAGTGGATGGAGGAAGACTCTGATTCCCATGATTCAGGCTTCACTGAATGAGGGAGAAGAACCAGGAAATGGGTTAGAAATCAGAGAAGAGTTGGGTTTATGGAAAGGTGGTATAAGGAGTGGGCAAGAATTTGGATACCTAGATTAAGAATTCTTCATGGAGATGGGCTCAAAGGAGCTCATGTCTCTGGGAAGAATCAAATTTCAACTTTAGTCAGCAGCTGAAAAGAGTTTTAAATCAGGTGCTTAGGGAGGACAGTGGACAAGATTTGGAGATGGGTCATGACTGGGATGTGCATCCAYTGAGGGATGGATAAGGCACAGAACTTAAAAGTTCTAAGAAAGATGAGCTATAGGAGAGGCGGCAATACAAGGCTGGGCATTTGCCTTTTATGTACTGACTGGATACGCAGAGATTGCAGGTCTATTAGGACATAACTTGCTTAGAAATTGTGATTGATATTTATCTCTGTAGTTTAGAATATGATATTATAGAAGGTTGTGTTCTATATGAAAGGTTCTTATGTATGGAGTATATATATATACTTCCAAAATAGTGTAGATATTAACTACAAAAATTTGTTTATTTATATATTAGTAGAAAGTTTTTGATGATAGTAGTCAAATATAACACATTTAGGTGGTGCATTTTAGATTTCAAAAAATGAGCAGAAAATAAGAATCTACTTATATGTCTTTCCTGAGACATAACCAAAATATTGATGTTTCAGGAACCAAAATGTACCAATATACAGTTATTTCATCCCATATAGGCCACAAAGACCATCATGTGGAGAATTTCCAACAATGGCAGAGTCCCAACAAAGAAWGGACAGAGTTCTGGAGGTTGAGACAGGTTCATTGCTTAGCTGCTTTTGTTTGACAAGCATAACTTTATTCTTTACCACTATCTATCTTGTTCATAATTACCCCTTGCACACAGTAGGCATTCTGTTCTGATGAAAGAATTTATGAATTATTAAGGMAAAACAGTAGATGTGCATGATCATTGGTGCTCTTTACACAATGGAATTCTATATAATGGAAATGGTAAGTAAGCAGTGGGAGAAGAGATTTCAGCCCTTAGTTACTTCCGATTCTTCAAGATCGGAGGCAAAGATTATACTTACCAAACACATTAAGACTAAAAGTTTTGCTCTTATCACCAGCTGTATTGGAAGCCAAACATGTGTATCTTCCAGTGTGTGACACCTGGGCATTAGTAATTTGCAGAAAACGGCCACCAGACATAATGTGATGGGCCTCATCCTCTTGGAGAAGCTGTCCGTCTTTGTGCCATGTGACCTCTGGCACTGGATTTCCTGAAAGAAAGAGCCAGTTCTGAGAGTTGTCTAATCACACACCTACAAATGATGAAAGGTCTGTCCACTCAYTGGCTTTCTTACATATTCCACTTCTAAAACAATGTAGGAACCATTCATTCTAAAATAAATTTGCAAACTAACCTTTTTGACTTTTTTTTTGTGATGCTGGGGACCAAACCCAGGGCCTTGTGCCTGGGAGGSAAGCACTCTACAWACTGAGCTATATCCCCAGCCCTGCAAACCAACCTTTTGAATGATATAATTAAATAAAATAATTAAATATTATATAATTAATTAAAAATGATAATGCTCTGACTAYAACTATACACAGATTTGAAATCATTTTCATATGTAGGTTAGTTTTCATCTATAAGTGAACTGATTCTAAATTGATATTTGTATTTAAACTAATATGCTTTAGTTCTTATAATTATTTTCACAGAAGCTATACTTTAGAAAGAATGGATCATGCATTTTTATTAAAATATTMCTCATGAATACTTTATATAAATTAAAAATATTTCATATTTTGARCAAAAGCTGTGGAAAAGTAAAATCATATGTATTTCAACTTGTTTTGAGTTATATGAGGATTCTTAGAGATACATATTAATTCTGCCTTTAATGTTTACAGAGCATAAAGGAAATAAAAAAATATTTTATTACATCAGCTCCTTGAGCCCATCTCCATGAAGAAATATTGAGTTTAAAATTGTTCAATTTTTGTTTTTGAAAATTTAAAACCATGAAAGTAAATTATGTACGAAAGACAATGAGAAAGATATATTGAAGGTGGAAACCTTCAGCAGAGAATGCTGTAAAATTTGGKCAACTATTCTCTATGCAACAGTTGTTAATTAACACAATGTTTCTAGGAAAAAATAACAGGTTGGGTAATAACAGTGTATGTCACATTCTTTATATCTGCCTTTCTTAAAATAGATAAATTTGTTACTTGAATTTATTACTCATACCAAGCATATAAACAAAGAGATAAGAAACTCATTAACACTTCCTCAAAACATTGCCTTTCCATAAAATGTTATGGGCTATTCTCTCTATTCCCTTAAAACTGCAAGGCTATCTACAATAAAAAAAAAAAAAAAAAAAAAAAAAGATGGGCTTAAAAAGTCCTCTTAGAGATTGTTTTTTTTTTTTTTATTATATGCAACAAGTCAACTGGATGGTAAAGATAGTCCAGTTGGTTTTCTAATTATTTTATTTTATTTTTCTAGTCTCTATTCTCCTGGTAATATGTGAACATGTTAACAAAATGTGACAGCTTTGTTCTTGGTTAATYCCCACCTTCAAATAAAGCAATCCTTCCACCAATGAAATGGAATTTAGAAAACAGGAAAAATAAAGGAAGGCAAAAATGTAGGGAAAGAAATAAAATCAGAGGAGGTAGGTAGAAAACACCTACAAATAAGTAGAAATAGAATGATGTTAATAATAAAGAATAATTTATTGAATGAAAAGAAAAGACAAGGGTCCACCTTCCCTCCTYCTTTTCTTCTTTCAAGAATTTCTACACAATTTGAGAGGTTTCCAGTTTCTTCCTTCATTTCTACTTGTTATCTTAGACTAGAATTCAATTTCAAACATCTATTACAGTAGCTAGGCTTTTTCTCTGCTAATTAAGGTAAGTGGTRAGGCAGTGAGGATCGGCCAATTGGGGGAATGCTTAAGTCCGACAGCTGAACCCCTTACCTGTCACTTCACAAGTCAGTGTGACACTCTGCTTCTCTTTGACTTTCACATCTTCCAATGTATTTTCACCTACAATATGAGGTGGTTCTAAAAAATTGACAGAGAAAGAAATAGGTTACAACTCTAACAGGAGATCTGTTCTTTTATAGATATTTGTGTTTACTAAGCTGTAAACTCCAAAACTAATCTCCAATTTCTCATCCAATATTTCATTACAATTTCAAAATACTGTTTTGATCAATTTTAGTTTCAATATGTATCATTAAGTTTATGTCATGAAAGCAATTATACTGAATTTTACTGCAATGAAAATAAAATTTGGATAAAAAATTGTCAACAAATCAATGCATAAAGACATAGATTTTTCTTTCTATAATTCTAATAATCACTCACATTAAACAAGCCACTCTGTCTCAGAATGTGGTGGAACTATTGTGAATGGACAAGACATGGACATTTAGCCATTTTCATCAGACTCATGGTTTCCAAACAATCCTAACATTGGATTCTTGCCAAAAATCATAGTCCAGGGGTCAAGGGACACATAGGTTTGAGAACAAGCTGTAAATAAATTTTAACTCTGCTTCTAAAATGTAATTAAGTCAATTATTTTTTTCTAGATACTGAAAATTTCACAAGTACCTAATATTTGAAGTACAAAGATTTTTCTTTCTTCACCAGCTGCATTCCTTACAACACAAGTATACTGGCCAGCATCTTCTAGTCTGGTCTGCATCAGCCGTAGCATCCTGCCTCCTAGAGGAACAAACCACCGGATGACATAGCTGCAAATATAATGCCAGGTGACCACAAGCCAGAAAGAGCATTTAACAGAGAAAGTGATGTTTGAATATACTCTTAAAAGGTAACTGATTTTAACAGATGACTTCAGAGATGCCTTTGTAAGTGGAGCATGAATGAGGATGTAAAGAAGGTGATACTGGTATTGGAAGCAAAACAGGTGGAGAAAATGGTAACATGAGGATTAGATAGAATTTGGCCAGATTCTGTAGGCCCTTGAATGCTATGCTAAGGAATTTAGACTTTATTGTGCTCAGTAAAGGGTATGGAAGTACATACCACAAAACAAGGTCRTGATTTGATTTGTGCATTCAAAAGACAGCCAGGACAGGAATATTTAGGAAAAGAGTCTCAGTTTGCTGTAGAACACATAAAATGGGAATTTCAGAAAGAGGACTAGATCAGCTACCCAGATTTGGATGACAACAATATATAGCATGTGTGAGGCACTGGGTTTGATCCTCAGCACCACATAAAAATAAATAAAGGAAYTGTATCCAGCTACAACTTAAAACATTAAAAAACAATATACGAGGGTCAGGTAAAACCATGAAGATAGACTATCAGCTTTCAATTGAGTTTCATGGAAATCTGGAATTATTTATTTCCAAGTGTCACCTCACACACTGCTACAATGCTACTTCAGTTTTTATACTGTGAACTTCTATGTAGCATTTTGTTCACAGAAATATTCTTCATCCAAGAAATGCATGAAGACTGAGAGTAAGACTCTCATATGCTGAAGGGTATACTCTGGCTGGAAATCCCTCTTAAGGACAAAGGTGRAGGAGCCAATGAAACACATTGAGAGTAGAGTCCTGCAAAGCATGGGAAGAAAGTCCAAGAAAAAACAGTAAGCTGTTTCTTAGATCTTGTAATAATTTCCTAGCTAGTATATTACTTTCTGCTTAGTACCCTGAATTGGGATGAAAAAATTATAATGGTTAAATAAAAAATGTTCATGTAAATATTCACCTGGCTCTGGTTCAGCAGTTTCCATCTGCTTTCAGTTTATAGAAACACAACTTGCTGATGTTGAGTTTTTCCAATGAGCCATTTTCCCACCCTCAACCCTAAGCAGAGTAGTAGTACTCTGTTTATAGAAAGCCGATTATCTSAATTCAGTCTTGAATTTCTTTTTCTTTCTTCTTCTTCTTCTCTCTTTTTTTGTGGTACTAGAGATTGAATCCAGGAGTGCTTAACCACTGAGTCACATCCATAGTGCTTTTCATATTTATTCTGAGACAGGGTCTCCCTAAAGTTGCTTAGGGCCTCACTAAGTTGTCTTTGAACTTGTGATCCTCCTGCCTCAGCCTCCTGAGTTGCTGGGATTACAGGTGTGTACCACTGCACCTGGCTTAAATTTCTCATAGAAATTATGTAAACATGTTTTTTTTTTTATAAAAACATATCAGTGAAGAAAGGATTCACATCCTCACTGTTACTTTAGATTAGTGAGGCCATATCTTGGCTCCAGTTGAGAGATATTGAAGCAATACAATTTTTATGAGTCATTGCTGACTCTATAAACCTCAACTTCACAAGTCTTATGACCTTTCTTTTTTCTTTGTTTTGTGGACCTCTCACTTAATCCAGTGAAAAACAAAAATAAGCCTGACAGTAAGTTGTAATTATATGAAGATGTTTCTTGCACCTATTAAATTTTTATAGAAGCTATCTGCAGATAACTTGATAACAATGATAGGGCCTTCCCCAAGGACTACTTTTAGAAAAGCTGGACTTAGAGATTTAGGACTGATTTTAATGAAATAGAAGTGTGCAGCAGACCAAGCAAGTCACATGTCACTCATCTGATTCTCATTCATCAATTGCACAAGATGCACATTCAGACTATAAAACTGAATGACTCTTTTGGCAGCATCACAAGGTGAAATACTTTTATGTGTTTGCTCAGGGCTCTCCAGCTGCTAGTCAAGCAAAACAAAACAAAATACAGCCCCAACACCACTCCTGTTAATTTATAATGAGTCAGAGGACATAACTTTATGTTGCCATTTTTATTTGTAGGAGCTCTGATGTAGTTATCCTATTTAGTATGGTTTTACTTTCTCAGCAATTAAAACTTTTTTTAAAAAACAAAAAATATGAGGATGATTTTAAGATACAGAGATAACATGTTCCGAATTTTGGTAACCCAATTTTAGTAAAATCTTTGCCATTGCTATGTGCTTTCCAAGGTCAGCAGAGACTGGGAGTCCTATGAAATGGAAGCATCATAGTAAGATTACAGGAARTTTCTCAGGACAGGGAGACTACAGACCTTTTACCAGGCTGTCCTTGGCAATAAGAATCAAAAGGCACTGGACTCAAACCACAGAAGCAAGCACTGTGTTAGCTRCTTTATATATACCAACTCACTTCATCTTTATAAAAAAAAAACCTAAGATATAAGTACTATTAATATTTACACTTTACAAGTGATGAAACTAAAGTTAACAAAGTTAAGTAAGTTGCCAGAGATCATAAACAGAGGAAGTATTACGGACCAAAAAAAATGTGGTTAACAACAATGAACATTCCTCACCAAGTTCCTATCATTTACAGACAGATGAGGAAGAAAGAGAGGGGCCTTACGCTATCCAGACCTAATTCCAACACTAGGAACAACGTCTTCTATGGTGAAAATTTGAACTTCATTTGAATAGTTAGGGCAGGGAGCTTACTACCACTGGGGATAGCTCATCTTGACTTTAAACCAGCTAAATATTATTTTTTAGATTTTTTATAGTCAGACTTAAATCTRTTTCTAGKATCTTCCAGACCTTGACATTACTTTTAACCTCTGGAACTAGACAGACCCACATACTCCCCTTTACATCTTGGCTTTTCAAATATTTAAGTTGGATTTTTCACTGGGGTATAAAATACACCAGATGGTTTATTTTTCTAGGATTGATACAATGAGACATAGTAATCATTTTGTAATCAATTACCATCATGGTTACCCTTCTAAAATATTATCAGTAGATCCTTCTCCTGGTCTTTCTGATAAGCTCTGCTATAAGTCTACAGAAAAATTATTCTTACATTCCTTATTAAGGAAAAAAACCAATATATTAAAGTGGCAAAATTTGCACTTGTTTTCTTGGTAACCATATTACACTGTTAATTCATACTGAATAACTAAGACAATTTGAATATTTTTTACTCTTAAGGATTCTAACGCTAAATATGCACTAACAAAAAATAATTCTAAAGCTGTATCTCACCATAATTTTCACAACTGTTTTTGAATGTCAGGGCAGGAGTTTATTTAACCTTCATCTTGCTGGGTTTAAATAAAATGTTCCAGCATGAGGTGTGTCTGAATTTGGATGCCTCCATTCAACATATTAGGAATTTTTCTATATATCTAAGCTTTTTATGAAACACAAACTTGGCAGAATTATCTTCTTTGTCTGCATCCAAGCCATTATATAAAAAGGTCAAGCATAGATTCTGGGGCTTGCCTCACGAAACCTCTCTCCAAGCTTAGATTGATCCATAGAGGATAAGCCTTGCAGGCTTTCCTGAATAATTATATGCAGAACAAGTCAAAATAATAATAAAGTCTTAACTCACAGAAAACTCTCCCATCCTAGAAATACAAACATCATTCAGATAGCCACACAGAAGTTGCAACTTGGTTCCAGGGATATATTATATAACATGAGTCACCGGAGTCACTGAATTTGACTTTGCCACTTTCTATTTTTCACTTTTCATATTTGCTGGTAATCATTGCAGCATGGATGCTTTGATATCCCTGTGGTTTGAGTACTAAGAAAAATTTTAAATGGCTCTGATACAGCCTCCTATGTCCTTTTAACTATTCTTCTTAATATGATTAGGAGATATTGTAAGCAGCAGCTAGATTAAAAAGAAAAATAATTTTAAAAGAAAAAGAAAATAATAGAAACACTGAAAAGGAAACCAAAGTAGAAACTGCAGCCAGATGAAGCCAAACAGATGATCAGACTACCGGAATTCCTACTACCTGAGAGAATCCTCACGGAACTGCCGAGGCTGACGGGCCACCCGTCTTTAAGCCACGTTATTGAAGGCAGCGGAATTCCTGAAGCCTCACACATCAGGGACACGGAGTTCTTTTCGACCACACTGACATTTTCAGGTGTCCCGTGGTTTCCTATGATGCTTGGAGGAACTGAAAGGCACAGAAAAAAAATTAACCTAACAAAAAAAGATTTATTTAAGATTCACTCATTTCTCTTTTACATTCTGATTCCTTTGGCTGCAAAGTACAAGATATTAATACTGAGCCTTGAGTATGTCTCAAGTTATAAGACTTGTGTCTATGAAATTTACCACTATTTCTATAGATTTWAAAAAAAATAAGCTTCAAATTATATGTATCCAAATGGTTGTCACTGAAACTAATGGCTCATTAATTAGTATCTTAAAATTGACATCCACACCACTCATGCCCAATTGGTTATGAATCAGTATGCTCCAAGGAACCTGTGTTTATATGCCTCATTGAGACAAGCCCATGTGGAAAGCACAATTAAGGGATCTTACTTGGGATGGCACTGAACCAAAAGCACTTGTAGAAGATAATTTTCCACTTTACTATGTGCTTTCCTAAAAGAATTACCCAATATGTGGTTACTTCAGCAGAGTAAGTAACAGGAGATCAGGCATAGAACACATGGTAAGACTGATCTCAGAAAGTGGGATGCATGTAGAAAAGGAGGGACTGTAAGACTTTCAACATACAATCCCACCCAGGAGGCTGGATCACAGCAGCCAGGGAAGAGACCTGTCGAACCACTTTCTACTTACCATGAACACTCAAGTCATATTTTCTGTCAGTCATTCCTGCTATATTCACACCAACACACACGTAACGGCCCGTGTCAGATACATGAGCATTCTTCAGCTGAAGGATGCGACCTCCTTGCAMTATTTCTACTCCCCTTCCCTTGGCCAAGGGGCGGCCATCCTTCATCCAGGCCACGGTTGGCTGAGGAACACCCTGCACCTCACACTCTAGGGAAACACTCTTCCCTCGAGTCACGATCACTTCGGTAGGGTGGCTACCACTGTCAGTTATGGTTGGTCGAACTGGAGGAAAAAAGAGAAAACAAGATAGGAAATGTTTGGCTCAGGTCTCACATAGGGAATTTTCATCAACCAAAGTTAAATACACTTTTTACATCAAGATATTAACGATCAAAAAAAGGCTCAGGATTAATAGACATGGCACTATTATATTGAGAGGCAGAATTCTTCTGTGATGTTCACAAGGTATCTAAAATAAAGTAAGAAAAGAGCGCTGTTTGGTAACTTCCTGTCATTGAGGAAATTCTACAAATATTTGAACTTATTACTGGCGCTCTACTGTGGTCTTCCTGGTACTAATTTTTAAGTTGATATGGCAGTCTAGGATTCGAYCCAATGTCTGTTACCAACTCCTTTMTTCCATTCRAAAAGCTGAGACTGTCACTCTTCCAAAACTGATGTGGCTACATGAGTCAATTCAGGTCWATAATATCCAGATGGAGGTCTGCTAGGGGCCTGGGGGAGTCTTTGCTATCYTGATATAAGAAAGATACCACTCTTTTCCCTTTTGCCTTCAATATGGGCTTGATACTACAACCAAAGAAACCATCTTAAAACCACAAAGGAGGGACCAGGAGGATCCCGCTGACTACCTTCAGTGACTAAGGGCCAACCTTAGACTTCTCACTAGGTGAGAAAGTAAACCTCCACTTGTCCAAACCACTGATAGCCAGTTATTCTGTTGCTTTACATCTAAATTACCCCAATTGATACTGATTCTAAGAACAAAAATTAGACCAACTCTCATACATAAGTACACGGAAAGAAAAGTGGGCCARTGTCTGTAATCCTATGTCCTAGTGACAGTTCTTCCACACATAACCCATGTGGCCTTGGTCAGCCTCAGAAGTCTCTGGGTTTAAATGTCCACAAATACAAAGTGAAGGCAAGAGTTATGTCTTATATCACAGCTCGGGTAGAAATTAAATGARATGATGTAAATATTTGAAAGAACTCCAAAATCACATCTCATTCTTTAAAATTCAATACTTGCRTGTACTGTAAATATACCCAAGAGCAKAATTCCCACTCTTGCCCCTTACTTKCCCACTATTCCATCTCCATCCAGGAAATAGTCTTTCACTGGTTGGTGAGCAGAGGCAGAGGAGACAGCTATATTTAAATTTGTGGGTCACAAGACATACATAACCATACCACTTTGAATGAATGTTAAATATATGAAGAAGTYAATGGAAAGAAAGAATGGAAAGCTTTAAAAGAAGATTGTTCCCAAAGCTTGGCTAATCAACAACTTACTGTAAACTTGCAGACTGTATTCTTTCTTTGTGGTTCCAGCAACATTGGAAGCCACACACGTATAGAGCCCTGCATCAGACTTTTCAGCAATTGAGATCTGTAACTGTCTGCCTCCAGATAAGATTCTCACTCGCCCCACAGAGTCAGCCAGCACTAGAGAGCCTGCCAAAAAAAAAAAAAAAAAAAGATCTGAGGCAAAAAATAAAGGCTTTTGTTTACATACTCTGATAAGTGTATATAGTTATTTATTTACTTCCTAATGCAAGTACCTAAAAGGCAGATAACCGAGTAAAAAAAAACCCTGCCCTGGTGTGCACAATGAAGGAGGAATATAAATGAACTAAAAATTGGGGGTTGGGGAAATAGCTCAGTTGGTAGAGTGCTTGCCTAGCATGTACAAAGCCCTGGGTTCGATCCCCAGCACCACCAAAAAMCAAAAACCACTAAATGAACTAAAATTTTAGATGATCTGTCTGATACCTACTGGGCACAAATAAGAATTTGTTGATGACTCAGTTGAAAATCTGCTGAACTGCAGAATTTAATCTTAATACACATTGCAAAACTGTTGTAAATGCAGTAGAAATGTGTGACTTAGAAAATAATTTTAAAAATCTATTTTCAAAAAGAAAATATAGTTCTTTGAAAAACAAATTCTTTTTAATACATTTTATTAAAAAGGAGTCAGTTAATGCATAAAACTGATTTTTTCCTCCTCTAGGGAGCAGTTTGTCTTAAAAAAATGAAGATTTTTCAGGAAGTGTGGAAATATCAAAACTTAATATAAATCAATGTTGCTATCTAATAGTATACAAATGCTAGAAAAGTTTGTTTATAAATTGACATGTTTGTTAAACAAGATATTCATTTTTTATTTATATTTAATTTTAGAAATTTCCAGGAGGAAAACCGACCTTTCTTCTTCCAAATGAGATTTGGGGGTGGAATTCCACTCGATTCACACAACAGACTAATGAGATTCCCTTCAATGACTGTAAGTTGGGAAAGTTCATCAGAACCATAGATATTTGGTGGTACTGAAAGGAAAAAAAATACTTTTTGTATACTTTTCATATTATATAGTATTTCACTAACACTTTACATGTAACAAGAAAAATTTCCATCCACATGACATAAGTAAATAATTAGCACATGAGGTTGACATAGTAAACCATATTAAAAGCCACCTGTAAGATGTAGAATAAATATATAACAGCAGACTTTCCTCTTTTTTACAGATAAAATTTAATTATCAAAATATTCAGAATGGCATAAAAAGAAGCAAATCTATTTAAAATATTTAGATACCTTGCATCAAAAAGCTAAGGCATGGATCAAGTTTAAAATTTAACCCGGTCATTGGTGCCCAGCCAACTTTGATGTCTCAGGTGCTGAACAAAATCAGAAAACATTTGGCCTCTAACACATAGTAAAGAACAGAGGTGAGGGGCTTCATTCAAGTAGTGGACATGTTACCTATTCTAGACTGCCTGGCCTGCCTCACTTACTCATCTCTGGCATCTTCTGGAACYTTCAAAGAGAATCCTGACTGCTCAGGCTTCTCTCAGAAGCTACAGTCTGCAGCTGCTGATGAGCTTTCCCTAGGACACTTCTTTGGCTGTGGAATGATCAGGAGGTTGATGCTGGTTCTTCCCAGCTCCAGGGAGGTGAGGAGTGGAAGAACACTACTCAACCCACAGCATAGAGTCCAGTTATTATTCAACTACCCCATGTAAGAGCCTCTATTCCTTKAAGGCTCATGCCACCAATTCATTTCTCTTTATCTCACCTCTGTGAACCCATCAATCTTCTATCCAACAATTTGGTACTGTATTTTTYACTTTGTCTTCATACCAAGTCCTGCCATCAGTCTATGGACTGAACCTCAAGATAAATTCTAGCTCATGACTTCACCAATTTAAAAGTTAAAAAAAAAAAAACAGTCAAAATCCAGAGGGTTTCATAGATCATAAATGAATTTAAAGCAGTATTTAAAATAAAGGTGATGATGCTGGAAATGGGAGCTGTAATGAACAATTAGCAGACAGCCACAGCAAAGGCAAAAGTCATGATTATTCATAAGAACATCCTTAATTAGTAAAACATAGTAAAATTTGAAGTGAAAACAGCCTTTCTTTTTTCTTTTCTTTTTCTCTTTTTTTTTTTTTGTTTTTGGTACCAGGGATTGAACTCAGGGGCACTCAACCACTGAGCCACATCTCCAGCCCTATTTTTTTGTATTTTATTTAGAGACAGGGTCTCACTGAGATGCTTAGCACCTTGCTTTTTGTTSAGGCTGGCTTTGAATTTATAATCCTCCTGTCTCAGCCTCCTGAGCCGCTGGGATTATAGGTGTGCACCACCACGTCTTGGAGTCTGGAGAGAACAGCTTTTCTTAACTAACACAGTAGCCCTATCTTTTTCCACACAAGCACACGTGTTGTCTCCCCTCTCACATGTATAGTTCCCATGCACCATTTGGCCTTTTGATTTATCTTCACTTGGCCAACCCAGCACCAGTGTCTGGAGGAAGCCCACACATCACAAGGCTCTGGTTGTGGAAGATAAAGGACACACTGGGCAGGAGAGAAGAGCCCTGTTACAGCAAAGTCACGACTGATACCATGAGGCCCTGGGCATCCATCTACTGTGGCTCCCAAATTAGTTCTTTAAGCTGATACTCAAGACTGCTCAGTGTCTCTAAGCGCCCTGGTGATTACCCATCTTTGTATTATAATTGAGTTTAGTTACATGGATGAATGTGTCATTTTAAGAACTGACACAGTGAATAAAAACTTTAAATTTCCAGATGTGTCATTAGCTTCACAGGGGCTGACTGTACTTACCCCAAATATTGACATTATAGTTTTTCTCAGTTTTTCCAGCGACATTTGTTGCTTCGCAAGTGTAACGACCCGTGTCTTGAACCTGAGCATCTTCAATCTAAAAACAAAACCACTCTCTGAAGTCACAAGTGCTGTTTCAYAGTTGAGGGTTTCCTATTACTGACTCTTTGTGGTCTCTTATTTTTAATTTTTATTCTGAAGATGTTCAAGCAATAAAAAAGGTGAGAGAAACATAAAATGAACAGCTAAACTCCCCTCCCCCAGATTCAACAGATTTTATTAAGTTATAGAGTCCTAAAATTCTGACTTGGTTTATGTTGATTTATGTTGAAAGTCTAGAAAGACTTGTTAAATACAATTTAGATTAAAAACACCAAAATTTAAAAAAAATCACAATTTCTGGTAAACTCAGGGTTTTAAAATACACAATCCTTATCTATTCAGGACAGTGTTCAGTAAGTTAATACTTTTATTATTGCCTTATTATATATGTCTTTTCCCCATTGGGTTTGGGGGGTGGAATATGAGTAGAACAGAGAGGAGAAGTTAAACATTTTTGAGCACCTAGTGTATACCATACTAAATAAATGGTTGGATTCTACCACCGTGCCTGGGTCAAGGTGTGCAAGAGTAGTACTGGGTTGTGCACAGGTAAGATGGTCTCTGCTGACCCACTATGCTTGGCTTCTGTCCAGGTTTTCCTTCTAGGCTCCTCCCCATGYCTCTCAATGGAACCTGCACACCCCAGGTGTCTGGCCCAGCTCCGTGGTGGTGGWGATCAATAGAACTTCTCTATTCACTCAGATTGGCATTCAAACAGTTGTCTCCCTGTCAATCAGCCAGAGCTAAGGCTTGAGAATTTTACTACCTGCCTTCTAGGATGCTGGGCTCTGCCTCCAGGCAGGARTAGTGCTTTTTCTTCTTCTTTCCTTGCTGCCCTGTAGCCCACTGGCTAATCCCTCTTTCATTCATCAGTGAWTCTGGTCTGGGCTTTCTCATCTACTCCATTATTACAGGATCCTAATTCCCAAGCTCCCCTTTCTTCTCCTCTAGCCTTCTCCTTTGTGCTCCTGCCCTCTTACCCATGCGGCTGTCCTTCAGGGTAAGCTGGTCACCTTACCGCCCTTCCCACACGCTGATTTTTCCAGACTGTTTACCAGTAACGATTGAGCTCCCTCTACCAAGAGGCTGTGTGTAGCTTGTAGCTGTACTCCCTGTGTTCAGATCAAAGTTCTGCCTCTTGGTARGGACCAGATTACTTAGTTATCCTTTGAATTTCTTGGCTGGGTCATTGGAAGTCTTATTTATAAGCATTCAGTGGGGTTACGAATATTTAGACTTTTTGGCCTCTTAAATTCTAATGTGTCAGGCTGCTTTCAGCGACAGCTCTTCTTTCACTCAAATGAACCTTTTCAACATTGTTTCCATATATTCATCACTTGGTAAAATTCTTAGTATCATTCAATTAATGTGCTTGCTTTCCTTAATTAAGAGTCTTGTTCTGTTTATCCTTAAAAAATTAGGCAGTCTTCAAAAACTCTTCCGGGCAACCTGAGTATCATCTTTTACTATCCCTCCCCACATATTCYAACTGTCTCATCCATTTGGTAATCGACTGAGACTTATTGTAGTTACTGCATTTTTGAACTGAACTTCTAGTTAACTTTTCATAGATTTATGTGAAATTATTAAGATATCGAGGACATTAAATGAGTTCTATTGTTTGCATCCATATCCAGAGCACCTAGAATGGGTGTTGGGCGATTGGTTGAATGACTGAACATGGGACAGTCCTTACAATATTCCCAGATGTTTTCCTAGAAGCATGTTTTGAGATGGCTTCTGTCTACAAGTATGGAAAGATAATTAAGTATTTAAATCTCATTAAGCATAAAATTTGAAAACATTGCCAACCTCACCGAGAAGCGTTTCTAGAATTTTATAAGATGAAATCAGAACACGTGTAAAAGATAGGCAAGCTTAACAGGGGTAACACCCACACCATGAGCTGAGGAGTAATGTATGATGGAAGGAATTTACAGCCTTACCTTTAACACACTCCCATTTTCAGAGATACCGAGGCCTGGTTTCTTCAGCAAAGGGCGGCCATCTTTTAACCATGTCAGAGTCGGTGGGGGGACAGCATCACTTTGACAAAACAACTCTAAGGCTTGGCTAATGAGGACAGAGACATTCTGTTCTTCTCCCATAATATTGGGTGGAACTAAGTGGAAGATGAGATTTCCCTCAGCATAACACAGGCCAGCCCACTGTTTATTTATCATCAAGACATACACTGAATAACTTTCCTGGTTCTTTTAAGATGGAGATTCTAAAATCGCCTCTTTGCATCGTTTGGTTCAGAATCAAGTGTTAATAAGTCACTGATTAATATACTCCTGTCCAACAGAAATCATCCTGACCATCTTTTCACTTGAAATTTTTTTTAGAACTAAAAGTTCTCAACAAGAGCACATTTAAGAAACTTCTAGAACGAGATGTGACTGCCTAAGGTTTTCAAAGTGATAACTCACTCATGAAACATTTTGGAAATAACAAATTAAAGCAAATATACTTTCAGTATGTAGTCACATGTTTTTGCAGAAGAAATGAATTTCATAGTCACAGAAGCTCAAAAATTAAAAATTGGAAGAGAACAGAGGTTACCTAGTCTCACCCCACAGCATACAAAACATTAAAGGGGTGACAGATAATAGCTTAGGCAAAATAAAATGACTAATTGATGGCAAAGAATCTTCTGATATGAAGTTCTTTTTTGTTTTCCATGATGCCTTGCCATCTTTCTATGGAACAAAGACCATGGGGGATAAGTGACACAATAAAGAACAAACTAAATCAGTGACAGCTGTAAAATATGCAGTTACACAAAAGGAGAAGATGAGTTAAAATTTTAATGAGATTAAAATTAGAATTCTCTGGCTATATGGCTTGTCAGAAGCTGAAATATATTCTTGGAGAAATTTAAAGAATCTCCTTCCTTTGAATATACTAAAATGTAAACAATCATTTGTCTCAGATGGTGTATTTTTTCTTTCTTTTTTGGTACTGGGGATTGAACCCAGGAGTGTTTAACCACTGAGCCACATCCCCAGCTCATTTTTGTATTTTATTTTATTTTATTAGAAACAGGGTCTCACTGAGTTGCTTAGAGCCTCACTAAGTTGTTGAGGCTGGCTTTGAACTTGCAATTCTCCTGCCCCAGCCTTCTAAATTGCTGGGATTACAGGAGTGCGCCACTGCACCCAGCCTCAGATGGTTTTATATAGCTCTGCCAAGAAAGGGAAAGTGGGCTCCATAATCTATAAAGGACTCTTTCAAACCTGTAAATAAAATCAACTGGAAAAGAGAAATGAATGATGAAATCAGAACTGTCATAAAGGGACACACCCCAAAAAATCACAGAGGGGAATTTCCTTGACCATTTCTCATTATATCCCATAACCACCTAGGGTTGTAGAAAACTTATTATATTTGTAGTAGTTGTTGAATTTGTTTTGGTTTTGTTTTTTGTTTTCATAAGAAAAGCTAAGTTGCATTCAAATGAATACTGAGGGTCTTTCCAAATGTTTTGGTAGAAATGAGATTTTTGTGGTGAGGAACATTATTATAGTCCATTAGCCACAGTTCCATGCTTAATATTCCACCATGTGGCCAGATGACAAGGAATCCAGTCAAATGTGACTAGCAGCATTTGCGTTTCTGCAACCACGAGGCTTCTCTGCTACCCTGTCTGCTTCAGTGGGAAAGGTCTGTGAAACAAAGGGTGTGTTTGTGTCCAGTTTCTGGGCGCAGGCTTGTGCTAAACCCAAAGCAATGGACATTAAAGGAAGAAACGCCCTGCACGGTGGCTGAAACAGGCCACCGAGCATTTGTGTGATGCTCCTACTGCTAAATTTCATAGTGCACAACAGAGGTCCAGCTCTCAAAGTTATCCATGGGACAACAGTGGGATTGTTTTGATATGCAACACAYTAGCTAGAAGGTATGTGACTAGTCTGTTCAAGATAAAGATCCCTGCCTGGCACCTGCCTGTAATCTCAGTGGCTCAGGAGGCTGAGGCAGGAGGATCGCAAATTCAAAGCCAGCCTTAGCAATTTAGCGAGGGCTTAAGAAACCTAGTGAGATTGAGACCCCGTCTCCAAATAAAATACAAAAAAGGGTTGGGGATGTGGCTCAGTGGTTTTGTGCCCCTGAGTTCAATTCCCAATAGTCCTCACACCACCCCCCAAAAGATTAAGATTGTTATTAAAATTGTACGATAAGTATAATTAATGTCACTTTCAAAGATATCATGAAAATGGTTATATTCACAAGCTTCAGCACTGGAAAGCCTGAGTAGAACAGCCTAGAAATAATTTTGGGTCAAGTTTGGTTTTATTGGATAAAAAAAAAGTATCATGAGCTGTATAAAATAGTTTATCTTTCATTATTTGTAGAATTTACAGAAGAGCATGATTTCCTCATGACCACAGAAGTGAAACACAGAAACAATCCAAGACGACAAAATTCTGATTTATTTCTAAATATTGTTCCTTCAATTACTCTTCTTTACAGCTAAGTAAGTTGATTCAAATATAAAAAGGAACCAGATTTTTAAAACTGCAAAAAAATGCAAAAATAATGGAGCATTCATTTAAGAAACTTAAAGCAAATCTAATTACAGTTGAGCACATATATATTACTGAAACACACGTATTTTTTTTCCTGTCCTGGTTTTCATTTCCAACTTTTTATTTAGTCTGAGATGAAAACAAGTCTTCCCCTTCCTTAGCTGTTTTCTCTCTTTTGTGCTGGGGTTATGCTGCTTAGGAAAGAGCRTGCTCTGAACTTGTAACTCTTTCTATACATTATACCTACCAAATATAACTACCAAAGTCAGAATTGCCACCAGGCTACACTTCCTGAGATGCTGAGCGCTGTGAGCACCATAAGAAGGTTTTCTGAGCTTAGGTTTAAAGAAGAGGTGCTTCAAGAATACACATATTAAAAAAAAATCAATTCTCTTATTTCACTATCTTATCATTTATAGCCAGGAAGAAATTCTTTAAATAAGTATTCTTGCATTTATAGGAAACTATTTTATACACTGTGTATTTCTCCTACCATGCCCATACTCTACAACATAAATCTAAGTAAATCTAAGGGGAATTACCAGTGGAGATTAACATTCACTAGGATCCAAGTAGACTCAAGATTGCTGAGAATGCTAATATAAGAATAAAATGTATAGAAAGAATGCTAATGGAACATAGGTTGGAAACTATCAAAATCTATCTTAATTTTATAGTTCTTTTAATCATTTTATTTTTATACCAGAGAAAAGATCCTTGTTTTTAGTCCAAGGAGATGGGATACAAGTACCTTAGAAACTGATAAAGAATAGTGATGAATGTTTCTATTAAYTCTTGGGAAATAACAGTTCTTCACCATCTCCCAGGCCCACCCTTGACATTAGCCAGGGCAGAAATGGAAGRAGTTGAACCTAGATTTTCACTGTTGACTAAGACCCAATGAAAACTGCTGTGAARCCGCCTAATGACTGAAGGAGCTGTTATGTCACATACTTAGCCTGATGATCTTTCTCGTCAGGCTAAGTATGTGACAGACTGCCTTTCTAAAATCTCTCTCTCTCAAGATATTTTAGAAAGGCAGTCTCCTAGTTTTAAGAAAGCATAACAGTGACCCTATTCAGTGAATGAATTAGAATCCCTGGGATTGGATATTACAAACCTGTTACCTAAAATACACCAGCAAATCCAGGGGCTGGAGGCAGACCCATGTCAACTATAGTAGCAATAGGAAAAAAGACAATGCAGAGTCCTTTGGTAGTATACCCATGCCTCCTAGGATTTTTTGTATTAAACAAATATATGGTATCAATGTTGAAAGAATAGACTTTTTTTTTTACCAAAAATATATGTGATTAATTATTTTTGATACATTTGTTTTTGTCAAATTTACAAAGAAAACTCCATATGATCCTCATGATCTGGATATATATGTATTCTGGATGTGTGTGTGTGTGTGTGTGTGTGTGTGTGTGTTTCCAATAAAAATGAGTTATTTGGAAGGAAGCAGGAGTTTAGACCTGTATCAAGCAGATACTCCACAATGGGCCACAGAAACAATTTCATTATTCCATGAACCAAGGAATACAATGCATATAAGACACTGAATGAAGTCTGCAACAGATGTGGAATGACAGGCATCATCAATGAATGGAGGTCCTTCTGGGGGACTTCTGTTGTGACGAAACCAGGTATTACCTTCTCTACCACATGACAACATTGTGGGTACGAAAAACACTTGAATTTTGTCTACATGTAAATCTGGTTTAACTTTGGCTTCCCAAATAGCTTTGAATTTATRGACATAGTATTGGTCACAAAATACAGTGACTGCAAATATCATTTAAAATAACAAAATAATGACTGTGTAGAATAGATGATGAGAGCTACTGGAGCAGATATTTGCTTTAGTGAGAAGATTATGTCTTCCCAATTGCAGAACTGATATCCACAGTCCTGTTCCTCAAAGCACTCTATAAAACCACACCCTCCAGGATGAATGTGCATATTGCAATATCCCAGAACTTTAAAAGGGATAAATAAAAKTGTAAAGCAGAAAGAGTCCATCAGGTAATATAGTTCCTCTGTTCATCATTTTTTATATTTAACAACTTCCCTTAACTTCCTTGACAAACTCAAGACCCAAACACATCTACACAGAGCAGAAATAATTAGTAGCAGGTCTCACCATGTACTCTGAGGTCAATGTCTCTTTGCTTCTCCCCAGCAGCATTCACTGCCACACAGGTGTATCTCCCTGTATCACTTATTTGTGCKCTGGTCAATGCTAAGATTCGACCCCCAGAGAGAACCTGCCAATGAAAAGAAAGCTAAATCATCAACATGCCCCATGAGAATGGTAGGTGTACTTTCCCTCTTGTTTTCTAAGGCTGATGAATGGGCATTTGCCACTAGGAGAATTTTCACTTGGACATTTTAAAGTGGGCAATAGAATCCCCTGCTCATCTTCTCAGTGGAAGACTGTGAGAGACGAGAACCAAACTGGGTAATCATCATTGAAAGCAGGTCAATGTACAGCATAAAGAACAAGTCAAAGTCCATTCATAATTGAGAGAGAGAGACAGACACACACACACACACACACACACACAGGGAACAAAGAGAAGTGGAAATAAGAGGAGCTAAGTCTCCTTATTTTTCTTTTAGAAATAAGCAAAAAGTTATGGTCAAGAACAAAGTCATAGCCCAAACTCTCTTCTTTGTCCTTTTATCCCATGGATCAATGGTTCCCTTAAATAGTGACATTAACTCATGATCTTCTAATGATTCCAAATTCTAAAAGGTTAGATATTTTTAAATATCAGAAGAAATGAGGGTTAGGAGAACTAAGTTCTCTGCTGGGAAAAATAAAATTAGACTTTAAATTAGACACAGGCATACCTCAGAGATGTTTTGGGTTTGGTTCTACTGCAATAAAGCAAATATTGTAATAAAGCAAGTCATACAAATTTTTTGGTTCCCCCGTGTATATAAAAGTTATGTTCACACTGTCCTGTGGTCTATTATGTGAAATAGCAGTAAGCCCAAAACACAGTGTGTGTGTGTGTGTGTGTGTGTGTGTGTGTGTGTGTGTGTGTGTCTTACTTAAAAATACTTCATTGGTTAAGAAAAAATGCAATGATCATCTGCACTGTTGGAAGAAATGGTGCTGATTGGCTCAATGCATGGTTGACAAAAAAATCTTAATCTGTACAAATTGCAATATCTGTAAAGGAAAACAGAGTGAAGCACAAATGAAGAAATGCTTGTGTGTGTTTCTGCGTTTTAAACATTGAGTTAATAAAATAATGCACTTAATTTTTTTTCTGAGACAAAGTGTTTCTCATGTTTCTTTTTTTTTTTTAATATTTATTTTTTAGTTCTCAGCAGACACAACATCTTTCTTTGTATGTGGTGCTGAGGATCGAACCCGGGCCGCACGCATGCCAGGCGAGCGCGCTACCGCTTGAGCCACATCCCCAGCCCTCATGTTTCCATTCTAAGTTTTCYACTTCTATTCTTTGATGTTTTTATACAAGTATACATATTCTATTTGGTTCTCAGATTCATTATTATTTCTAGATATTTAGGTACAAACTCTACTAGAAAATTCCTGTTTTTATTGTTGATGAACAATCACTGTGGTAGGAGTAAGAATTGGGGACAGATAGAAAAGAATAGGTATATTAAAAAATGGGTAAAATATAATACTTATATGTGAGGCAGGGGAACTCTTGRAAATACTAAGCTTTCAACAGATTGCTTAGATATCCCAATTGTGTGTCCATGGTATTTATGGGTGCTTATGTGTAATTTCTTAAAATAACATTTGTTAATTCTTTTTCCCTAAATCTCTTCAACAGCTTCACATGTTTGTATTTCCTGTATTGAATACATGGGTGGTAGATTTATCTAAGTAAATGAAAGAGGCTACCTGGATTCCATCAGCAAAACTGGAGACAGGGCTCCCATCTTTCAACCAGGTCAGACTTGGGGCAGGTATCCCTCTGGATTCACATTCCAGCCTCACCAGATTGTTAACCACCACCGCCACCATATTATTACTACCAGAAATTGATGGGGGAACTGAAAAAATAAAAGTCAAGTAYGTTAACAAACCCAGGGTATGTCACGAGAAAAGAATGAAAACCATACACAATACCCATACTAATGTCTTCTTATGGGTTGATTTTTTTAAAATTTTGCTTTGTTTGAATGTTTGTTTTTGGTAAGTTCTTCCACATCTGTTATTTGAAAGAGAATCACAGTCATCCTGTGAGATAAATAGGGCAAGTATCAATAACTCCATTTTACAGATGAAGAAAAGGAAGTTTCATTCGTTTGTTTGGCAACTCAGTTTTTAATGATAGAGTGGCTTTCTATTTCTATCTCCAGATGTGTGTGTGCGCGTGCGTGCATCCACTATCCTGTGTTAACTGCCAACTCCTCTTGAAAAGCCTTATTAGAGACGATAACTTGGAAACATTTAATACTAACGATTCTGTTAGAACATCAGTGACTAGTTCAATAATTCATTTAAAACAAGTTGAACAGCATGTGAAAATTGAGCATTTTAATAGGCACCAGGATTAAGAATGTTTATTGGTTTTAGAACACTGGGTCCTTAAATAGAAAAGAAAATAACACACTTCATGAAATATTTTCTCTAGAATTTTACAGAATGCTTCCTTTGCCTTGGATGAATCCAGGAGAGGCAGTACTTACCATGAACTTGTAGACTGTAAAATAATTCTGTAGCTCCAGCAGAGTTGATGGCCACACATTTATATATGCCAGCATCTGAGATCTGGGCACTTKCAATATTGATGATTTGCCCTCTATTCAAGAAAGTGATACTGGGAGAGCCTGAGAGTAGGTGGTTATCTTTGTACCAGGTAATAACTGAAAGGGGAAGGGCAGAAAAGGTCTATGTCAATTAAAAAAAATTCAATATACTAAGTTGGAACTTAATTGAAGTAGCTAYACTTGCTTGACTTTAATCTTATTGYTTGAGCTTCATCTATTTAAATAAACATTTTTTAGGGTTGATTTTTAAGAGAATGTTAGAAAAAACATCAAATTTCAAGATGAGTTCTGAAATGTTAACAAGAAGATATTCTTTATATTGYCTCTAATATATCAATATTGTTTCATAGTCAAGTTTAAACCTGTTGTATTTCTTTTTATTGTGTATTTCCTATAAAGTTTTGTCTAAACATCTAATCAAAATCACAAGTCATACACACTATTGGCTTCAAAATTTTATAGTACTATTGATCCAAATGAAGAACCTACCCATGATGGGAATGTATACAAAACAAAACCAGAGTCTCATGAGAATGACTGTGATTAAGAATCAATTTGGTCAAGCTTTGTTAATATAGTTTTAAAAATTAAAAATATACTTTTCAACGTGWATGTACATAAAACTCAATTGTGGTTTTTGTGACCACAATATGGACAAGACAATTTACAAATTTCCACATTAAGTGGATCAATTATTTGATGCAACTAAAAGCAATGAAATTCAAAAATATCATTCATATGACATTCTTACTAGTGTTTTACTCTTGAAACATATTCTATAGCCTTTTTATTAGTAATYAGAAATTAGTCCATTACATTCATAAACAATTTCAGTCAATCCCAGAAATCTTAAAATGTTAATAAATTACAGTGTTCAAAAGTCAACCTACCAGGCGAGGGATTCCCAGAAGCCTCACACTCCAGCTGTATGGGGTTGTCCACCACCACTGTCTCATTGAGCATCTTCCCTGCATCTTCCAGGCTGGGTGGTTCTACAAGAGGTCCAATCGGGTAATTGRTATCAGTGGGCTGTTTACACTGAATTGCTTACTCTGCAAATTATAATTTTATTTCTTCCTTTCTTTCTCTCATATATACACTGACATTGAAAATAAAAKAAAATATACTATTAAGTAGAACTGAAGAACAGGATAGAAAAAAAAATCTTCATAGATTTTCTGGATCATTATTTTCCAATAAGAAAATCCTTAGGATTGTAGATTAGGAGTGTAGTCAAAGAACAYTAAATGAATACTTTCAAAATTCTGATTAATCTGTCTGGTCTGATGATGAATTATCTTTAGCTATACGCAATCTACTTCATTTGAACTCTTCCAATAGAGAAGAAATAAATAGGTCTCAAAATATCTGACTTTATCTTGGCTAATACTATCTTAGATCATTTCAGAAAAAAAATGTTGGAATGATATTTTGGGTTTATTTTTTTAGCAGGCTTTTCTCTGACAAAATTAAAACAGGAAAAAAAATGCTTCCAATTTTAAACAATTGCTAATAATGGTGCTCTGTTATTTAGTGTAGTTGGAAAACAGGAA